CAGCCCAAAACAGTCGTTCTTTTGGCTCTGCGTCTTGTTTTGACCTAGCTAGAGCTAAAAAGCCGAACATAGTATTGCAAATTTCTGTTAAAATGGGTTTCCTGCGTTTTTAGTCATTAAATCGGCACTCGCAGCTACAAATCAGAGCAATAACGCAAAAAGCTAGTATAGGGGTTTAAAGTTTCGGTTGTTAGCTGCATGAAACAATCTTTGTTTTAGCCGTGCTTCTTCTTTTGGCAAAGTTACAGCTATGAAACGGCAACAAACCGGGTTTTCTGCTATCAAAGAACGTATACTTGATTTTGGGCACAAAAAAATTAGTTCTTTGGCCATAGCACAGCCAAAAATGGCCCAAATGAGGAATGTAATACCTCGTAGGGCTCGTAACTTGATTGCCATGATTCCCAATTGGTTTGCATTCAAATCTGGAAAACTTCATTTCTGGCCATTTTTTGAAAATTTTGATGATGGTACCCCTTATCAAAAATGCGAAATTCGGGCCAAAATTAATTTTCCCAAAATCGAAAATCGAGTGATAGGGGTGGTTAGTATTGGTCGTTAGCAGCCCAAAACAGTCGTTCTTTTGGCTGTGCGTCTTGTTTTGACCTAGCTAGAGCTAAAAAGCCGAACATAGTATTGCAAATTTCTGTAAAAATGGGTTTCCTGCGTTTTTAGTCATTAAATCGGCACTCGCAGCTACAAATCAGAGCAATAACGCAAAAAGCTAGTATAGGGGTTTAAAGTTTCGGTTGTTAGCTGCATGAAACAATCTTTGTTGGGCAAAGTTTTGACAAAACTAGAGCTAAGAATCCGCAAAAATATTGAAATTTTCTTCAACAAATCCAGTTTGTTTTCTATTTTGCACCCAAAGTGCTTAAATTATTTACCTTTTACAGATTTCAATTAATTCTTTGCCATTAAAGCTCTTAAAACTGGCTTGTACTAAATTCATGGCTTCCACAATTTCGTTGACTTATCTTCTTCTTTTTTTATCCGCTTATTGAGTTGTCTTCCGTTGTCGTATACCAGTCCCCCGGGGGCTGTATTTTGTTTAATTGCCGCAGTGAGTCTTACAACATCAAATCAGCACACAGAGCACATACACAAGTATTCCCAGGCAAAAAACACCCTATTTTCCCACCCATTCATCCCACTTTTTAAGCAAACTTTCCTCCTTGATTACGAAGCACAAATTTTCGGTTGTGTTAGAGGTTTTGAGGCTCCCTAGACTCGTTCCCTTTTTGTTTTATCACAGATCGATTAAAATCATAATTAGCTAACTTTCCAGGGAATCTCCTCTTTTCCCCTTTTTCTTTTGTTTTGCTTTTGCGGTCACACCTCAGTTACCACGCCTTGGGGAGAAGATTTTTTCAAGTCTTCCAAGGAAACGTGTTTATGATTACTTATTACAATTTTATTACTAACTTTAATTTCTTGCTGGACCCAAATTCAAGTCTCTATAGGGAAAGACTATCGGTCTTGCACCGAAATTAAAAAAATATATATTTCTATATATATATTTCAGTTTTGTATTTAACTTACTTCATTTAAAAACCAGAAATTAAGCTTAGTTTTCAGAATAGAATAATGTAATATATACCAATGCTATGAAATTCCTTGAAACGGTTTTTGACGTGCACAAGAAAAAGAAGAAATAGAGGCAGAGAAAACACTTGAAAGCTCATAGAGAACTTTTGGCACAAAGTTGTCGAAATCAATCAAGCGTTGAGACCTATCCGCCAGACGAATTTTCCCCAAATTGCACCCCACTGAAATGCCACCGATTTCTAGGTGGCAATGGTTGCTTTTGGTAGTGGCTTTTCTTCTCTGTTTTATTAAGGTCTTCGCTTCTTTTTTATATTGCCAATCATTTCGTATTTATGCGTTTGTTCTTTGATCCCAATCAGCAAGCTGTTTCCCCTTCAAACCTCTTCGGAATTATTCGTTGTCAATCAGTGATTTGACCATTTTCGGTCACTTTAGTACGGTAACCCCAGACTCAAAAAAAATCCTTATTTCAGAAATGTGTGCCGAGTTCTGTTTCCATTTTCGCTGGAATTTGACTTAATTTGTTTTTTGTTAAAGAAAAATCGAAATAACATTTTGTTTGAAATCAATTTTACTGGACAATCAATATTTCCCTATGATTACCTTTGGCTGTGGACATTTCACATTCTTTTTGTTGGCGCCGAAAATGGTTTATTTAAATTTTACGTCTTGACACTGACAACTTATATCAGAATATTTTAACTCGAATGGGAGCCATTCTGATTAATAAACTGTAAGGCGTTTTGGAGAATGTTATCTTTTTATAACCACATTTTTGTGGCCTTAACTTGTTCCGTATACGTAATATTACCATATTGTGCATACGTAATGGGTTCTTAATTAAAAAATTCATTTATATACTTAGTGGTATATTTAAAAATTGAAAAATAAGGTTAAAAACAAGTAGGGTATTTAGAATTTCGTTTCCTTTTTCGACTGATTTTTCACACGTTTCTATTTCTGTATCCTTTATTACGCATACGCCGCATGGCCCTACGCATTGATGAATTGTTGCCAATTTCAGAATTTCTCGAAGAGGGATTTCTTTGTTGCGGGGTTCTAGGGGTGGGTGTTGCGTGTGGGTGAAGAAATATGGGGTATGCCATGTGCCATCGAGTCAAATCAAACTGAAGTTTTGCTGGTCTTAGCTGGTATTTGTTGTTGTTTGTGTTCTAGTCTTTTTTCTATTTGGTTTTTTTCTTGATACTTTTTTTTTTGCCTTTGTGGCGCCATCTCCCGGCGCCGTGTTTCTCTGTGTGTGTGTGTGTGGAGGCACGCGCATTCTAGTACTATGAACGTGTATGCGTGTGTGTGTTTCCTTTTCTTGCCTATTTTATGATTTATTGTATGTTTTCCCATTCGTGGTTGCTAACCAACTAACCAAAGAACCGAACCCACCAAGTCACCGAGCTTATTACACTGACCTTTACACGTACTAAGCCACCCTCTCTTCGCCGCCCTATTTGCTGACTTAAGGGTCTTTCAAGTTTTCTGTTTTCTTTTTCTTTTCTTTTTTTGGGCAAGTGTCTTTTAGTCAGGGCTCGTGTGTCTCTGTCTGCAGAGACTTATCTTTAAGAAGAATAAAGTAGCTAGGGGGGAGGGGGATCGGGTGAAGAAGCGGGTGTTAGCGGGAATGGGAATAGCCCGTTTTCAGACAACACACCATGGCCTGTTGACCAAAGCTCACTTTAGCAAACTTAATCTGTAGCCATATAACATTTTTTGCTTTCGATCGGTGGGACTTTCGAGAAGCCAAGCGAGCCAAAAGGATATTGGGTATTAGGTTTCTCGCCCACTTGTGTTTTGTTTTATTTAAATGTTCCTTTAACTTACAAGGGAATCAAATATATTTACTTATCTTTATGTTATTATAAGTAATTTAAAGGTTTCAAACTCAAATGTCTCATTTCCTAAACTAATTTCGTTTTACTTCACAAGAAAGCCTGAAAACAATAACCTTATTACATATCTCTACTAATATTTTCCCTTTTTGAACTCATTCGTCCTTTGACTTTCCCATTTCTTGGGCTCTTTTGAGTGACTGACATTTGGAATTGCTTTGGCAAATTATATTTTATTGCTGCAGCCATCAAAACTAACCCACAAGATGTTGGCCTTCAATCCCGGCCATCCCTCGTGTCCCTCCACTTCCCACTCATATCCAAACAGCTCGGAGTGTTTCTTGCCCCGTTTTGTGTGCCTATTGCCACATACTTCATTTCTATTTGGAAGAGAAGTCAACTGCCACAAACAGTTAGTTGCCCGCTGGCCACATTCTCGTCGTTGTCATTTCCAACGCTATATTCGTGCTCCTTGCCTTGTTTATTATTTATTTACAATACTTTCTTATTCAAAATGAACCCGCAAACCTCTCGGAATTATTGATGGCCCAACCATATACCACAGCGAATTGTTGAAGGGGTACAGGAGGAGGAGGAGGTTACCCCTTTTTGCCCAGCAGTAACGATTTTTTTTATTTATATTTTTTTTTGTTTTGTTCCTTGCCCTTCCACAGGCAGGTTCTGTTTCAAGAGTTTCTCAAGTGCGACGAGGGGCAAAGAACACAAAAAACATAACGAAAAGTCCGGTCGACTCAATTTACAAAAATTCTCTTTCTTTTTCTTCATTACTTTTTTATATTCTTCAGTTGTTTTTTTTCTTTTTTTTTTTTTTTTTTGGTGGGCAGCCGTAGTCAGAGATTATTAACTTTTAAATTATGCATTGGTACGGTGGATGGAAAAAGGGGAAAAATATGAGAAAAGCTCAAAGACTGAATGACCGTCGAACTGATTAATGCAAATGGATTAAAGTTTCAAAGGGTTAGTTCGAGTGGTCTTTCCCTCTTGATTTTTTAAGTGAATTGTTTCCAAGAAAAATAGCTAGGTACTTCGAGACTTTCAGATTTTGTACACTTTTTATCATTACTAAATAGTCGTGCTTTTGGAATATACAAATTTTAGAATTTTACTTATCTGACCAACGCATTTCACCTTGACGCCACAAATTAAAAGTTTACTACTGCTGCTCCATTAAACCTCTCAATTATTTTCCGCATATTCAAACGGTTTTGAAGTCACATCCCCTCGATTCGCACAGAAGCAAAAATACACAACAGCATTTTGACACTCAGTTAGCAGTTAGTCCAATATTTTTTCAGCATTTTACAATATTTATCATGCGGCCGATGATTTATGTGATTGGAGCGCCATATATCTGAAGATATATGTGTGTTTATGTAAATAAATATAGGTTTTGGGTGCCTGACACTGCGGATGCTGCAACGGCAGCAGCAGTGCCACCACAAAAAATATACCAGCAAAATAAATATATCGACAGGCAGAATGAACCTTAATAAATATTTACGCGCTGCGTAACAATTCGCCTAGCTAAATATGCCAATTTTAGCCTCTTAAATTTTGTATGTTTTTCTTCTTCTTCTTTTTTTTTTGCAGAAATGAGAAGTTTTATACGTGCTGCGATGAGCCATATCTGGACATCACCTTCAACATCACAATGCGCCGCAAGACCCTTTTCTACACGGTCAACCTGATCATTCCCTGCATGGGCATCAGTTTCCTCACCATCCTTGTATTCTACCTGCCGTCGGACAGTGGTGAGAAGGTGAGTTTAATCTTTGGATATCCCTGGGAAGGGAAAAGTATCTGATATCACGAAATGTTGGGCTTTAGAGAATATAAAATAACAATCTCTAATTGAGATTTAAAATACTTGCAAAAATAATTGGTTAATTGTAAAACCAATTACATAAAGTTCTAATAGAGTCAAATATATGAAGTATTATTAAAAAATAGTTAATTCGAATTGCGTGCACTAGAACATAGACAAAAACTGAACATTTGTTCGCCATAGTTTTTCTGATAAGCGGGCTCAATTAATGAGCTAAAGTTTAATTAAATCAGTCGCACTATAGTTGCGGCGGGGTGTCCAAAAGCTTTATCTTCTGCCATTGGATTTATGCTAATGATACACATGTTATTGCATTTATTCATAGTGAAATTAAGCATTAGAATCAAGTTCATCCGCAGCTGAAATGCATTAGCTTGCATAAAGCGTTACCCATTTCCCATTTCTCCCGCCATATTTGCTTTGTTCACATCTGCTGCCATTTTCCCCGCGCTTTTCACCATTCTCATTTTCATTTTTTTTTTTTTTTTTTTGCATTAAACCAATTGCCATAATTTATTGCCAGCTCACTCCTCGCCCATCCGTTCAAAATGTGCTTTTAATTAAAAAGCAAAAAAAAAACTAAAAAAAAAAAAACAAAAAAATAATTTCACACTCAAATGAAAATGAAAATGCATTTCAACATTTTATTCGTTTTGATTTTCATTTTTTCGGGTGTTCTGTGTATGTGTGTGTGTGTGTTGGCGTATATTTTTTCGCCCAGTCTGCCATCATTTAAGTTTGAGTAAATAAAATTACACCATGTATTCAATTTAATGCGAACAAAAGTTCCTTTTTTTTTACTTTTTTGTTTCATTGCGGTTCTTTGGCGATTCTTTGAGGGAAAATGCCAAACGAAAATGAAAACACGAAATGGCATAATGCATAAATATAAACATTTACATGCTGCCTGGGACTTATGAATAAATTACGGCCAATTTTCAAAATAAATAAAATGCAAAAATAATTTGTGTGCGCAAGCGGTTTGTGGATTACTGATGCTGATGCCGATGCCGATGCTGATGCTGATGTTGATGCCAATGCCATCCGGCATTTCCACATCGCTCACGGAGCATAATTTATGTTATAAATATTGACAGCGCCGGGCATTTGATGAGCCATCCCAGCAGGCATTATGTAAATTCCCGATTTGCGTGTGCATTATCGAGTTAAGAGCGGTATATTCGATGACTACTCATCGAATAATGCGCGCATTATACCAAGCTGTCACATGAAAACGAACTTTATGAATGATTTTGGAAAGACACTGTTTATCTAAGGCTTGATTTGATTTGAACATTATTACTGTTCGTAGGATATCGATGAATAATCTTTCAAATTAGACATTTTGACAAATTTATCCAATATCAAGTATAATATTTATAAATAAGATAGATTTAAGTCATATTTCCGATAATAATCAATTTAGTTTGTTCACTTAAATACACCAATCTATCTTTGCTAGTACTTAAAGTTGGTTGGCCCAATAAAAAATAATCAATTCGTTTGATATTATTTTGCCAGGAGTTTTTCCCCTCTTTTTGTGGTATCTGTTTACTTTTTTGTTTTTCTTTTTTCTTTTTGATACTTTTACTATTTGTGCCGTGTGGGCACATTTCATTGCACTGTTGTCCCTTTTATGGCCATGCACGCACACTCACCCGGACACACACACACACACACATACTGGTACATGGAGCTGGCAAATATTTACGCCTAAAAGCAGGCAGCGAAATAAAACAGGACACAAACTGCGGATCTGCGCCCGAAATTCCCGCCACTGGTCAGTCTGCAGTTAACTATGGCAACTCTGGCACGTCCGCCACGCCCATCGTTCCTGCCAAACGACCCACCGCGCCCCTCATCTGTTCGGCCCATCCTTTGGACCCCCGTGGCCGAAGTTCTATCGGAATTGGAATTCGAATTGCCAATTTACATGCATATGCGCCACAACGCACTTCATTCATGCAATTGCCGATTGCGGGAGTGAGGAAAGGAGGTGGCCCAAAATGGTTGCGGTACACTAGTAGAAAATGTCCTTTAATCTTTAATCAATTAAGATTTTTCCTTAAAAAAATTCTCATTAAATAGTAGAGAGGGGAAAAGGTATGCACTTTCAAGCTTAGTAAATATCCCTAGAAGATTTTTGATTTTTTATATTATTAGATAAAATCATAATAATCTTTGAAAATATTATACTAAAATTTCTATAATAAAAACTTAATAGACTTATAATTTATCTTAATAGAATGCAACTCTGTGGTAGCCTTTTTTGTAGAACATTTTTAGCACAGTTTTTTCCCGGTACATCAAACGAAGGGCTACTTTTCCAATACTAAGTAGCCGCACTGTTCCCATTCCCCTCCGTTTATTTGCATCGTATTTTTATGGGCGAAACAATTACGTTTTACGAACAGCATCCAGATTGAAACTGGCCCATCAGTTGGCAGGCCCGAACTATCCAGTCGGAGTCCGAAGCTCACCCTAACAGAACTGAAATCATCGGGACCGAAATGCATTTGGCCACCTTAATTACACCGAACATTTGCATAAATAATGAGCAGGTCGCTAGTGATGGTAGCGTGAGGCGATTACCCATGGATTCCTTTGCCATTGAGGTCACAGCCCCCATTTGTATCATCCCTAAGGCTTTCAGGCAATGACATAAACAGCACTGAGAGAAATACTAAGGTGTTTATAAAACAAACTATGAAAAATAGTTTCATTTATGAACTATATATTCACCATTAGTTTCTTGATTACCTTTAAATCGATGCTTTTATAGGTGAATATATGGTGGTATTTATAGTGGAAAGCCATTGGATTTGCTTGGCAAGTTGTAGCCCTAATTAGGCAACGTCACTAATCGCTTTACAAGCGCTGACCCCAAAACTACGGCTAATTATCATAAAATCATTAAGCATCGAAAATTTATGCCGCACACAAACTCACTGAAACACACATATAGCAACACACAGACAGACAGTAGAAAGCCTCAAATGGTGCGTCTCATTTTCGACATTTAATTACTTTCTACAAATACACTCACATCGAAACCCATACAAGCACACACTTCATTACAAGCAGCTTAGGCATGAATAAGGTGAGCTACCACTCCTCCTTTTTCAGCCATACCCCCCTACAAATCATTTTGCGCTTTATTGAGCGCCTTGAAAAGTATGCCGCGTTTTCGTTTTCATTTCCATTTTCACGGAGGAAGGTTTTTCCCAACTCAGAGCCCCACACCCCCCCCCCTTACCGCGTTCTTTTTTCGACATTTTCCATTGCCTTTGCATATGATTTGTTGGCCAGCTTTTGGCAAGGCCGCAATTGCCGGCTGATAAACCGCTTTTTCATACGCCCATTGCCCTGGCTTATTATTTGCTTGTGATGCCCGCTTAGGTGTTCTAAATCAATTTGGATTTGTGGCTCCAATTGGCGGCCAAGCGAGCGGAATCTTGGCAATTGTCTGGCAATGAAATTAAAATTTTCACATCTTATATTAAGCTGTTTTAGGTAAAAAAAATAATGAGCAGACTCAGGGCTATAATATTTATCATATTAAATAATTATTTGGCAATGTTTATAAGCTAAGTGTACGAGGTGTGTTCAAAAAGTAAGGTGACTCTTCAAATTTCGCGAATTTCAAATTTTTCGATTATCGATTTTTTTGTTTTGTTATATTGGTACACTCTTCCCTAACATCTGTACCAAGTTTCAATGGAACATCCTCTTTTGTTTGGTTGTGAGAGGCGTAAAGTTACAAGTTATTTTGCGAGCTCGGCGATTTTTTGCTATCGAAAAATATGGATCAAAGGATTTGGATTTTTTGGCCAAAAACAACACCACAATAATGCCTCAGCTACCATATTCACCGGATTTGGCCCCATGTGACTTTTTCTTGTTCCCAAAACTGAAGATAATCGAAAAATTTGAAAAATTTGAAATTTGAAAAGTCACCTTACTTTTTGAACACACCTCGTATAACTTCTAAAAGGTTTCGATAATCGAAAAATTTGAAATTCGCGAAATTTGAAGAGTCACCTTACTTTTTGAACACACCTCGTATGGTATAACCCATAAAACTAACCAGTCCAACCAAACCTATACCAAAAAAAAGGTTTAAATGATTTAGGCTCAGTAATTAACTAACTAACCAAAAAGGCAGCTCAACTGTTATATATTAATTAATTCGTAGGGCTTAGCTGTCTTTTTTGTTACAATTAATTAATCCAAATAGCTCTTGTAACTATTCCCAGTTAACTAATAAGGCCAAAATGGTCCTGTAGAAGTTTCCATATTAATTAGCTAATCCAAAGGACTTGGGGTTTTATTATTTAACTAATTCAAGCGGATAGTGTAAGTTATGTTTAATAATTATTTAATCGAGATATTATGTTACTTTAGTATTTATGATTTAGAGATAAATCTTTAATGGAAATTGTATTTAATGATGAACCTAAACATGATTAAATAAGTTATGTATCGTTATACATCTAGCATTAGGAACCATTTTCCAGACACCTGCTCGCTCTTCTCTCAGGATCTCCTATATAATCAATAAGTATTCCTTGATTTCTGCACTATCAAAGGGCAAAGGGCAAATAAAGTGGCACCAAAATGGCAAACTCTCGATGGGGGAAAAAAGAGCTTAAGCTTCGTCTGAGCAATATTTATGCATTATAAATGAGAAGAAGAAACCTTATCGGGCCAGGGAGTTTCCCGTTGTTGTTCGCAGTTCGCAATTGTCGCTTCTTTATGGCGCTTTAGATTTTCCGCTCGACGTGCAGCTCAATTTGCCACGCTCCTTTATCCCCCTGCCGCCCACCAACTTCCTATCTCACTCTTCTAGGTTTATGTGCATATATATTTATATATGTACCATATATATGTACTTGCAGGTCTCATTAAGCATATCCATTCTGCTGTCGCTCACTGTGTTCTTCCTGCTGCTGGCGGAAATCATTCCGCCCACATCGCTGGTGGTGCCACTGCTAGGAAAGTTCGTGCTCTTCACCATGATACTGGATACCTTCAGGTGAGTCCCCCATTCGATTTCCCATTGATACTACAGAACCGAATGTCGTCTGAATATGCTAAATACTTTAAATTCAAGTTTTTAATAGCATATTTTGGACTTAACAATAAGCAAACTGTCAATCTACGTTATTTGTAATTAGTTACCGAGACAAATTTAAAATCATTTATCTAGTTAGAAAGCCTTAAAAAACTTCCAAATATGTAGTTAACAAAGTTTTTCAAAAACTTCGACTTCGGTGTTCTTTGGTGGGAAAGTTTTGCCAAAGGGAAGCAGCAAAATAAAACTCGATTCGGCAGTACGGCCGTTCGACTTTTGCTTGGCTTAATGCCACGCCCATCCCCGACAAAATAGGCCCCCTGCTGTGGGGCCTATTAAATGGCTGCGGCAATTTACAGTCATTTGCCACGCCCACAAGGCGACTGGCCGGCACACCAAATGATGGCCGCCTAATTGTTGGTAAACAAAAGTCGACTGAGACCGAGAGTAGGAGACTCTGCCAACAATGGAATCGCCAGTGGCGCAACAGGACCTCGCCTCAAATGATGTAATTAAGGCTGGCAGGACACTCTACCCACTCCCCATTTTTCCAACCCATTCCCCATTCCCCATTCCCCACTCCCACCGTCATTCTTTTCCAACGCCTTTCTTGGCCAGCTGCTAATTAGACGTGGGCGTCGAAAGTTAATTACCCAGACTAAGAGAGCAACTCACTTAAGTCCTTTCTGCATGTTCTTACCACCCTCACATTTTATCCTTGGACAACTCTTCTGCCGAGGGTACAAAATATAGGGACACTTTATCATGCACTTCCACATAATAATGTTAGCTAAGTAGATATTACAGTCAAAAAAATAAATTGTAAGATTCTCTTCTACCAAAGAAGCATTATAAAAGCTGCCTAGTCGGCTGCTTTTAAATGAAAATATAAATATCAATAGATCTGCTTTATAAATATTAAAAAGATTGAGAGGAAAGATGGTTTCTTAAACGAAAAATAAGAATAACGCCTTTTGACAGAAAATGACATTTTTTCAAAATGAAACTCATGACTAAGAAAGCGACTGTTTTTTATACGACTTTTGGCAGCAGAGAGCCCCGTTTCTTAGCTCTAACTTTGTCAAAACAAGACGCTCGCCTAAAAAGTGACTGCTTTATACAGATAACAACCAAAACTTTAAACCCCAATACCTACTTTTAACAGAACCCAGAAATTTGAAATATTTTTTGAAAAATGGACATGAATTATGAATTTTAGATGTAAATGCAGTTTTTAAGAAAAGTTAATAACGAACCCAACAAGGTATGGCATTCTATACACATTTACCAATAAAATGCTGATAAAGTTTGTGAATTGAGTACTCACCGTACCGTATTTCTTTCTCTGTAGCATCTGTGTGACGGTGTTAGTGCTGAACATCCACTTCCGGTCGCCGCAGACGCACACGATGGCTCCTTGGGTGCGGACCGTGTTTATTAACCAGCTGCCCCGCTTCCTGGTCATGCGGCGTCCGCTCTATCCGATCAGCGAGATGATGTGAGTGCCTCCTCCGAAAGGGACCTCCGAGTAACCGATAACCTTTAACCACCGTTCTCCGTGGTTTTCTTTGTTTTTCCACAGAAAATCCTCGCGGCGGCTCATGGTGCGCACATGCAACGGACTCGAACTGAGGGATCAAATACCACCGCTGCCACCGCCGGTGGCCTTGTCTCGGTAAGTTAAAAGGAGGGTCCTAGAATTAAACGTTTTTAAGTACGATTTCAATTTATATGCATTGATACTTACCTGTATAATCGGCATTTATGTAGCATGCACCACAGCCCAAAGACGACATCGCGTAGCACTTCGCCACATTTTCAGCACCGTGCGCAGACCTACAACCTGATGGATGAGTGTGGCATGGGTATGGGCGGTGGCGGTGCCTCCACCATTACCGGCCACTTGAGCTCCTTGTATCCGCCGACCATGTCGACGGCCAACCAGCAGACCTCGACAACATCATCGCTGATCGACGCCCAGTACCACAATCAGTATCAGCAGACGGGTGGCTCGCTGCTAGACCATCCGCTAACGCCCACCAAGTTCCGTCAGATGACCTCGACCTCCAGCCAGACGGGTCAGAATGGAAGCGGGAATGGCGGTGGTGGCTATGGTGGTCATGGCCAAAGTGGCAGCGGAGGAGGTCACCTCTATCGGCAGCAATCGAGCTGCTCGGCGAACTTTTCGCCACTGCCGCAGCATGCACACCAGGCGCACGCCTCCACCACCACCAGCGATCTGGGCATGGCCAATCCGAATGTGATAAAGTCAACGACGACGGTTAACTCGGTGGCCACCGCATCGACGCTGGCGGACTCCTGCTGCAGCGGCACTATCCAGATCCATCAGGGCATGGGCGCCGGGGCCGCTTGCCAGTCATCGGAGCTCCTGCACCACCAGCAGTTGCACCACCAGCAGATGCACCACCAACAACAGCAGCATCATCACCAGCGACCCACCACCTCAGCGGCAGCGGCAGCAGCAGCGGCAGCCGCCGGCGGACCCAGCACCTCGGCAGCGGCAGCAGCAGCGGCGGCGGCAGCGGCGGCCGGAACGCCACCCCCACCGCCTCCACCGGCGGGCGTCTGTGATATTCTGCCCGCCTGCCAGCGCGAGGGCGGACCGCACTGCTGCTCGGGGCGTGGCAATGTACGCCAACGGTGGCACACCTGCCCGGAACTTCACAAGGCCATGGACGGGGTCACCTACATAGCCGAACAGACGCGCAAGGAGGAGGAGAGCACAAGGGTAAGGTTACATCTAAATCACATTGTAGGACTCTAAGGACCTTCTAAGCCATATTTATCCTTCTAAGCACCATCTAAAGTCGCACTAAACTTCTATCTAGTAACCACCAATCCAATATAGAATCGTTATCTAAAAACTGCAATAATACTACAGATAACTGAAGTGGACTTAAACAATGCTCTTTAAAAAACGGAATTTTATTTTTCGTTTCCCATTGGAAAAATAATTTTCCCTGCTCTTTCGGAATGTCGCAATTGCAGCAAGCCAGTGAAAATAAGAAAAAGAAAATTGGAAAGCCGGAAAAAAATACAAGTGGCCCGAAAGCCGCTTAACGTTTGGCCAGGACAGAGAAACGGGGACATACCTGAGAGGGAGACGGAAACTGAGTCCGAGAAGGAGATAGAGACAGTAGAGACTCTGAGACAGAGGTAGAAAGTCAGTGTGGATTTTGATGTTAATAAGCCTGGCGCAATAAATTAGAGCGGCCTTAGGCGGGATTTATTGGCACGTCGATAATCGATGGCCAGGACTTTGAGACTAAAGCTCGAACTTAAACTGGAGTCGAGACTCTGGAGTTGAAACACCTTGGCCAGGACCCAGTTGTTGATGATGTCCGACTGTCACTGGCTCTCTGCCCTTTTGTTGACCTTTCCCGGCCAATGTCCCGGTGTCCATATGTGTGTCCGTGGGGCATCGACTCAATGGGCGGACTTATGCCGGCTGCGCCAAAAGTTTTAATGACTTTTCATGCGCCTTATTGAGCACCGACTATGGCTATGTCCTGTCATTTGTACACTCCACGAAAGTCCTTGCTCTAATAGACAAAACTTATTAAGCCGATTTTTAAAAAGTGATTTCAAAAGGGTCTCTAAAACCGAAGGAAACAAGAAGGCAACATTGACTAATATAAAAGAATCAAATTTTTCTATTTAAATATAAAATGGAAATAATAGAAAAGGATTAGCACTTATTTCTGTAAGTGCAGGCCTGTTCGTCTGTTTGTTCGCGAAGTTACGAGCATTGCTGTTGCTGCTGTCCTCTCATCATAATGAATGTTTTCTTGTGGCATCGAACAAAATGCCAATAAAAGTATTTTATTAAAATTACGCACACATTCAATCATTATTGGAATGTCCTGCCGGGCTTAGCGGCGGAGGTGGAGGTGGAGGCCTGGGACAGGGACTGCGATACTCCAGGACACTCCAGGACAGAACTAGGGCACCTCCGGACGGAGGTAACGGAGAGCAAAGGACACGGGACACAAGTCTCAGGGCACAGAACTCAGGAGCAGTGTTGTCACTAGCAGACCAAAAATATCTACTTCAGCCTTCAGGTTAAAGAGTTAATATTTTTTATAATTTTTAAATTATTTTCAATATGGGGTTACTTTGATATAAAATTTCTTTCCAAAAAGGATATTTTCACATATTCTAACGCATTTTCAATCTTATCCTTAAAAAAACAGACTTTAAGCTATAAAATCGCCAAGTTGACAGCACTACAAAATCGAATGCTGAGATATGCGAGACAGCTTCGGCGGCATTTACATTGAGTGCGTGTCATTTGCGCCACGCCCCCTGGGCGATGGTAGGCAGTGGGTTGGGGGCTGGGGATTGGTGGGCGTGACAGCGGTCTGGCTGGGGAATTAGTCGCAAGATGCGTGGCCAAAGTTAAACATATTGCCCTGGCTCCAGGCCCAGCGAATGAATATCGAATGAGGGCCAATCGAAAAGGGGGAGAATCTTATTGACTCAAAAATTGAAAGACTCTGCAGCACATGATATATTTAGATAATAACTAATATCAAACTGAACAAAGAGCGAGGAAATAAATATGAAAATATATTAGCTATAGACGCAGAAACAAAGGATATAAACAAAATGTTTTGGTTCTCATATTTTACCCTTGAAATTTGACTTTGAACCACAAAAAAAAATATGGCTGACATTTGAAAGATTTTTAGCTAATGAAAATGTATTTACCTTGTTTTTTTCGAACAGGTGAAAGAGGACTGGAAGTACGTGGCCATGGTGCTGGATCGTCTGTTCCTGTGGATCTTCACAATAGCCGTTGTCGTCGGAACCGCCGGCATTATCCTGCAGGCTCCGACGCTCTACGACACCCGGATGCCCATCGATATTAAGCTCTCGGAGATCGCCTCGACGACGGCCAAGCCCAATGTGGCCAGGCCCGTGTTGTAAGCGGATCGATAAATATCGTTCGATCGATCGATATCCAGTATTCCGGTAAACACACACCACACACAGTCTGAAGAAGCCAACAAAAAGCAAAACACAAGTAATGAATGAAATTCGCATTTGTTTTTTCTTTAACAAGAGAAGGGGGATAACGAAAAACAAAAAACGAAAAACAAAAAAACAAAATACAAAAAACAGAAAACCAAAAAATAACCACAAAACTTGTTCCAAAATGAATATATATAAAAATGACAGAGGCGAATCCAAGTAACTATAACTAATAAATTGTATTTGTTGTATACATAAAAGATATAACTAACTATAAATAATTTGTACACTAATGTTTAAACAGGCAAACTATGCTAAACAAAACGGTTTTTTTTCTAGGCAACGTAAATGAATAGACAGAAAGGTGACGAAAACGAAAGACAAGAAAGTCAAAAACAAATAATTAAGTAAACCAATTCAACTGAAACGAAGCGCAAAATAGTATGCAACAGATAAATAAATACGAATTATGGTAATATTTGAGAGCGAAATTAAATTAGTGAAATTAAATTAGCCTAGCCAAACATCAAGAATAGCGGAAACAACAAACAAAGAAAAGTGTATTTGTTGAACAGGAAAATGCGGAGATGGAGGACAAAATTAGTTAGCTAAGCGAACCAAAATATAATATGGAACAGGAAGAAAAGCCAACAAAAAGGCATAGGTATATGTGTATGTGTGCATTTAGAGAAAACTGAGCAGAAATCGAATAGAACTTTTATGATTTAAGAAATTATTTTCTATAATATTTGAAATTTTTTAAATAATATTTATATTACTGATTTCTTCCTATTTTTGATGGATAATTTTAAACCAAGAACTGTAATGTCTAGAAAAGTTAACAGATTTTAATTTAAATTAAGTTAATGATATATATTAATAAGAAGAAAGCAAAGAAAATCGATAAGAAAGCCTTTTTAAGTTATGAAGTCCTCTGCCAGATTCATTTTCTCCGTGTGCATGAGTGTGTGTGCTGCCGTATGTGTGTGACTGCAAATGAGGCATGCAAATTAGTGCAAATAAACCGAGAGAAAGTGAGAGAGAGAAATGGTTGGGGTAGTGAAAATGGTGCCCCAGGACACGGAAAAGCCGGGAACCCCCCAACCATCCACGATTTAGCCTTGGGGCAATTAGTTAGCACAAAGCTTTAGTTATTATGCCCAAGTGTACGTGGGCCTGTATGCGTGTGGGTGCGAGAGCATGTGTGTGCATAGTAAATAATCACCATTAGAAATTCAAATTCAATTTTGGCGCTTGCACTGCCTAATTGGCAAAAACAAAAAAAAAAAAAAAAACAAAAAAACGCGTCCAAGTTGCTCACGTCCTTCTTTTTTCTTGCCACCCAATTAACATTTCCCACGCTCGCCACTCTAATAATTTATGCTAATTTCAAATTGCATAACTCACTAAAAAACAAAAGAATACGATAAAGGCCCAAGGTAAAAGCTACCTGCCAAATAAAAAAGCAGACAGGCCAAAATTTTACTTCGGCTTCTCGCACTTCTTCTGGTGTTATACGGCGATTGCTTTATTTGCAGCCCCGTTTATTTGCTTTACACTTTTTATTGCTCATAAAATCAAATGATGCCTGATTAGGAGAAGCTAACAAAAAAGAATAACAAAAAGGACATCGACAGCGGGGGAATCCCCCTTTATCGTTCGAAAAAAAAACGGAATGCTTCAAGTTGTACGCAACATAACATGGTTCTGTTAGCTGAGGGAAATTTTAACAGCTGTCAGGCGACAAAGGTTTCTTTTTTGCTTCTACGGCTTAAAGAGGGATATTTTGTTAAGTTATTATTATGAAGATGTTTTTTTTTTTTAATTTATTTATGTTTATAGCATAAAACTGGTAACTTTATTAAAGTTCAAAAACCAGCAAGAAATTCGGATAAACCATTAATTTGTTTTGAAATTTATATAGATATATATAATAATTAACTTTAGACCATATGTGTATCTTTATAAATTCAAAAACAGTATAAAACATCTAGTGAAATGAATTTGTGTTTTTTGGTCGCCTGATTTATTGCCAAAGACAACAAAAACCACAATGCGTGTGTCGTCACAAGCAAGTGTCAATCACAGTCACCGCACTGCAATTGTTCATGCCACACCCCCCGGACCGACCGCCCATATCACACACACACACACACACTCACACACAACACTTTTTCAGTTTTTAATTAAATGAAATGCAAGCGAAGAGTTATAGCAGACACTGTGCCAGAGGGGGATGGGGCGATGAGTGAAATGCACACAAAATGAAAAGCCATTAACGAAATATTATATCTGAAGATGGAGGGAGTGACGATGTCAGCTGAATCCTGTTTGTGATATAAAAAGCGCACGAATTTCGGAAGATTTTCTGCACAGTAAGAAAGATTTGATTCACAATCCCTGTGTCAAAGTTTCTATCAATCTATTATTAGAGAAAACGTTTTTAGATTCAATAGAAAGAGTTGTACGGTAATTTATAATATCAGTTTTCTTAGTTCTCAAGTAATTACAAAATAAGTAAATTCTGACACTTAAGTACAATTTCCTTTTCTTTAATATCTAAATAACATTTTCTTCCTGTGTGGCTCTGATGTTATTTAAGCGCCAGGCATTTAATAGGTCGCCCCTTCCGAAAATATGGCCCCGACCGAAGTGAGGAAGAAGTAAATCTGGAATGGGGGCAGTTGGAGACCGCAAATCATAATTGTTGCGGGCACACAAGACACACCAAAAACAAATGGCGGTGGGTTGGGGATGTTTCTGGGGAATTTGGGAGTTGGGTGGACTCCTCCCCGAAGTTGTAACAATGCGATCTGTGTGTGTTGGCCACCCATTCACAAACACACACACACACAAAAAGCACATTAGCCCTGCTCCTTGGCAGTTCAGTTTGTTTTGTGCTTTCTGCTTTTGGCTGTTACTTTTGCTTTGGTTATGCTTTTAGCTTTGCTCTTACTTTTACTTTGTTTCATTCATTTGGACGTGTTTTTCTTCAATTTTTTTTTTTGGCCCGCAATGAGCGATGCGTATCAGCAGCGAACGTGGCCAAAAATTCGGTCTATTTGTTTGTTTTCACTTTTGCGGCCTAAATATATTTACTGTGGAATGTCCAATGGTAAGAAAAATTAAGTCGAAGACAAAACAATGGGTGGTTTTTAAGACTAAGTAACGTGTTTTATCCACATGTTCTAACATGTTTTAATCCACAACATTCTAATCTCAATACCAGTAAATAATTTTCCAATAGTTATGTAATGCATATTTAACCTTTTTTTCAATCTGTCCGTAACCAATGTGAACTTAAATAATGCAAAGCTGGTTGAAACATTTAAATCAATGACATCCACTCGTTTTTCTAAATCCTTTCCTATAAACCATTCCATTGAAATTTGAAATTCAAGCTTAACCCGGTGACAAAATAAAAGGAAACCTATTTCATGCCGATTGATAGGGCAGCAATAAAAAAAAAATAAACACAACAAAAAACCTATGGCTTAGCCGGAAATATCCATCATTGAGCATTTCCCACTGTACCGGCATTTTATCTATAAGCCCGAGTTTCGCTTGCCGGCCCCCAAACGCAATACAAAAGCAATCATAAAGTTATAGCCCGGACGAAACAGTCGCTACTTCGGGGTACTACTGGTGCTTCCCCTCGGCCAGTTGGCCATTTCCACTACCGTTCCCGGTTCTCGGTCCAGTTGCTGGCCAAAAAACTCGAAGCAAAAAACAACTTTACACCCTTGGGCGACATTTTCTAACAGGCAGAGCAGCCTTTTCCGCACCCACATTGAGAAACATTTTACCGCTCGGAATAGCCACCCAACAACCCACTTCCCTCTCTAAACAAGTGCTGGATTTTTGTCTACTTTCCGGATAGATTATCCTGTTTTATGAATATTTAGAATAGATGAATTTTAGAGTTTGCATCAATGGAAATCTCTCTGTTGAAATTCAGTTAAATATTATTCGCATTCATTTTGATTCTTAAAAAAATATATATTTTAATATTAAAACATACAAATCCTTAAGATTTCTACACCGTTTGTTGACTTAAATAAATAGCCTATATGTTCTCCTTTTTTCCCATATTTCTGTCTGAACATTTCCATAATTTATGTAATAGATAGCCTGCCATCACTAAGCCACTTTCACATTCTCCGAACACGCTTTTCCTTTCCCCAATTTCCCCCGTCCTCATATCGTTTAATGTCCTATCTATGTTTCTGCTTCTGTTTTCGCCCACCTTTTTGGCTCAATAAGAGCGGCGAATTTATTGCTTGCTAATAGGAAAACAGCCTCCCTCTGGTCTTTTCCTCAGACCCCGCCCCCATTACCAACCTCCCAATCACAAAAAAAAAAAAAAGAACACAGAAAACGTGGCTGGTCAGGAGGACAAAGTTTGTCGACATTTTTTGCTTGTGCGGGGGGAGTGTTAGAAAATGGGAACCCCTAGAGCAGAGGGAAAATATGTTTTCAACATAATTTCATTCATTATACTTGAATTGTTATTGTTGTTGGTCTGTGTTGGCCAATGTTGCTGCTCATTTTCAGCAGGCTCATTATCAGCCACGCCTCCCTCCCTCCTATCAGACACACACACACCCACACCTTGGGCGGGCATTTTGGCTAATTTGAATTTGATTTCATTCAGAAAGTTTGCCGTTTTTGGCATTTGTTTCATGGCGCTGTTTTGATTTGTGTGACAAGTGCAAATGATTGTATTCGTGAGTTGATTAATTGAAAATGAATGCGAGACGGGGGAGAAAATTGATTTTCATTTCCATGGAATCCTAGGCTCTGTGAAATACCATTAAACATTCTTCCGATTCACAGAAATTATCTCTAGCAAAAAACGGAATGAACATGTAAAGATTTCACGTCAAAATAGGAAGCCTTAAGCCTATTCAAAATTCTCTAAAACAAAGAAAAAACAGCTCCCCAAGAATTCTATTTGTTCCCTCTAAAAATTTAACGAAAACAAAAGGATAATGAATCTTTGACGCTAGAGAATTTTCCCCCAAACAACCTTAGCACAAATAAAACGAACCTCTAAGGTTTCACAGGAATAAACAAATAGATGTTCCACATATAGGGATCTACGAAGTCCTCTCTCGGCCCAATAATCTCTTTGAGTGAGTGTGCGTGCGTGTCATATATATATCACTAGTCACTAAAAACCACAAAATTAAGGGAAAAACAGGCGTTAAAGAAAAAAAAAACCTAATTGCAAAACATATTTATATGAAAAGTGGAGCGAAACAAATGGAGAACGAACTCAAGAATGTAAAAAAATGTTGAAATATTTTTTACAAAACAAATTGGGCAAAAAACTAACGAAATGCCAAGGGGACAAAGGGGTTAGGCTTCGGATATTAATTGAACTCGACTTTTTGGGGTCGCAACAACACATTTGCCACAAGACATTGTGTGCTCCCAACAACAGTTTATACATAAACGCGTAGATATATCGGGATATTTGGGATTGGGGGGCATTGTGGGCCGAAACTAACACTAAAATTATAAACGCGAAGATTGCGTAAGGGGGAGACATTTTTTTTAGAACGTACCTTTAACAGAACGATTAAGAAGCGTTCACGCAGAACAACTAACACTAATTTTAAAGCATACATTTAATGGTAAACTTAACATTTACATTAAACTAAAACTAACAAAAAACATTGATAAGCGATATACACAGCGAACAAAAAAAAAGAAGAATAGAGAAATTGTTTAAAAATGAGCGAAGCAAACCAAACACGAATTGAATTTACTTTTAAGAACCATAACAAAAATCGAAAAAAAAACAAACGAAACAAGAAATTAAGAAAAGATATTTAAACAAAGCAAAGAAAACCAAAAAAAAAAAACTATAAAATTATACGATTTACAAAACTAAGAACTACAAAAAAATAATGGTAAAAATAGAGAGAACTTTTTTTTGCTCAAAGCCAGGGGGCAAATCCCTCAAATCCCTCATTCAATTTCCCAAAAAAAACTAAATGAGAAAAAATTAAACACAAAAATAAAATATATTTCGCGGCACGTAAAAAATTTGTTCGTCACGAAAGTAAACCACAAAAATCCAAAACAAAACGATTTTCTAAACCACAAAGATTTGAAAGAATTGGCCAAACCCAAAACAAAATAATGTTTAAAATTAAACTAAAGTCAAAACCACACTCAAGTAAATCCACAAAAAAAAAAGATAAGAAAAAAACCAAAGGAAATTATAATTAAAACAAAAACTTAGCTTCTAGTGAGAATTTTTAAAACAAAGCAAAAATGAGACGATAGAGAAAATGCCCCAGAAACCAAAATATGAAACAATGTTAACAAATCGAGGAAAGATAAAGACATAAATGGAATTACAAGATCGGCTAGCCGACACTGAAATACCCTTGCAATTGCAATCGACGAATGTTTGAAATCAATAATGAAAGTAGATACTATATACTGCCTTTAAATCATAATAAAAATCGACCAGAAACTTGAAATATTTTAACTTTTCCAAAATACTATTCCATTTGGTGTCATTCCGGGTTTTGACGTGTCATTCCTAAGTTGTACTTAACAAGATAAGTTTACTACTAAAACAAATACGTAAATATTATGTAAAATAAAAACTAAAACAATCTTTCTTATCGTTAAACACCTTTTTCTGTCTGTTTCTTGAGACGATTTTTATATCGATTGTAGGCTTAAGTTAGAGGATACGATTGCAAGGATATCAAATAAAAAAAGTTTCTAAAAAGAAAGAAATGGAAAAACTTAAACCAAATGGGAAACCGAAAATTAACTAGAGAATTCTTTTCAAATATCAAATAATGCAAGAAAATAAATAATATAATAATAATATTACAGCCACGAATGGAAACCAAAATAATATTAGGAAATAAAAAAAACAAACGAAGGCAACCAACCCGTAACAACAACAACAACAACACACATTTCAATTGCGCTCGTTTAGCCCATATATAGTATATTTCAATTAAAAAGAACGAAAAAACACATTACAATATTTAAATATGTCATTAAGTCACAGCGAATAAACAACAACAATAAGTTGAAGGCGACTTACAAATCTAACGGACTGAGAAAGTGCATTCGTGTGTGCGAGGGAGAGAGAGAGAGTTAAAGAGATATAGTAACTATATATGTATATATCATCGGAGATGATCTCTGCTGACGCCAAAATTCGGGCAATATTAGTTTAAATTTGCTAAGGATTGGTTTTTCAGCCGATAAGTCTGTGCGAATTAGCTAAATCGTGATTGGTTTACATTGTAAATTGATCTAGAGGTTAAATTAATAATTTTCTTTACTAGTAAGAGCAGTGTATTTGCTAACGTAAAACACACTGCATTGTTTATCACGAATAAGTACACTTAGTACAGTGCGCTTGACAACAATCGAATGATAAACTATAAGAAGTATATTATTATTATAAATATTTCTAGATTATTTTAATGAGCCTCACAATTTTTGATTTATGTTTAGCCTTTGAGATTAACTCTTTTCATTCATCATCATCATTTCATAATCTGTAGGCACCAGCGATTTGGCATGTAATATAGATACATCATAAATAATCAACATAAATTATTATTAATTTATTAATTGAACCATAGAAATATTTTGAAATCAAGAATTTATTGAGGAATTGGTTGTAGAAGCTATAAAAAATTCTATAGGTTGTCAAGATTTTAAGTTGTAATCCAAAAAATGGAAATATTATATTAATATATAATTCATTTAGTAATATTTCCATCTTTTGGAATATCACGTAAAATGTTGGCCAACCAATTGAATTGCTCACAACTTTTACAACCAATTCGTTAACAAATTATAGATTCAACTAATAAATTAATAGTAATATGTATGCTAGCAATTATCAAAGTGTAGGTTGCCAACTATATTCGTATTTTTTCTTGAGATTTACTAAGATTGCCAAAACGCACTGTACGATAATCACGATTTAGCAAAAACGCATAAACCTCAATCAACCAGTGTGAGTGAGAGAGAGCTAGTTTCAACTTGGTGAATTTTTAGCCTTGTTTGTCTTTTTTGGTTTGGATTAAGGAAATGTGTATCTACTTGTGTAATGTTGTGCGACATCCATTAAAGTCCAGAAGGTGATTAGGTATCGTTGGTCTGGTCATCATTATCATCCTCCGGCTCATGGCCGCGACCCTCACGAATCCGCTTCAATTTCCGTTTCAGCATCATGACACCTGCAATGCGAAATCTCTGTAAATCACAAGAACTTTGTTCAATTTTGTTCAAATCACTTACATTTGATAGCCTGGAAGGTTTTAGCTGAAGCCGAACTGGTTTCAGAGGGAAGCGAATTGGACGTTGTTCTTATATGTGCCAGCTTGACCTCCAAATAAGCCTTTTTTAGCGTTTTGTAGTGACGGAACTCACTGGTGTCTTTGACCAGGATGCACTTAGCCGCCGATCCTTCACCTGAACAATCCGAGGGCGCTGTGTGATATATCTGATGGTAGAAGTACTGTAGCACCGGTGAGTTCCAAATCGAGAGACCGTACCACAGCCAAATGGGCACATTCAGGGGCAGCTTAAAGTTCTTGGCGAACAATGTGGGTATGAAGTACTTGAATGGCAGCAGATTGACGAACACATGCGCCCACACAACGATCCGCAAGCCAAGGAAAACCTGGTAGATGATCCTATGCGAATTGGTGCTGGGCAGGACCAGTAGGGCCAACACCTCCGTTAATATGCTGTACAGCCCCACTGTCAGATTAAGGCCAACAAAGTAGTTCTCGTACCTAAAAACAAGACAAGAAAATGACATTAACTCAGCTTCGAGGACATGTTTTGGGGTAGTAGGTAGAGATTTTAATACTTAACCCTCTTTTTGAGATCATTCTAATATAAAACATGTTTCGACTTGCCTGTAAACATCGATTGCGACGAGGGCCAGCAGGTATAGTCCCTTGGAGCCCACCTCCAAGAAATCGGCATCCTTAAAGTCCAACCATGCCCCATGCAGGTAAAACGTGATGATAAATATCGAATAGAATTGAAACTTTTCCGCCTGATGGGATCTGTAGAAGATCAGATTATCGGAGGAATAGAAGAGCGAGTAGCGTCCCTGGTTCTTCATCAGCTGGGGCAGGATCATGAACTCATTGTAGAAGTGTAGGAACAAGCAGCTCGCCGCATAGAAGGCGATATTCCAGATTACGCGGGCGAACAGCCTCCGCTGAAAGTGCTTCATGTTCGACGATTTAAGAAAGAACTGAGAAAAGGGAGAGGTATTAGTATTGGCAATTTGTCGAGCATTGGTCTTGGGTCGTTAGAGATAATGTTTTATGGATTATAGTCAGTGCCGATAAGTCGGCTGTCGCTGCTTTATGCTATCACTTAAGCCAGGAGCGTGGTGCAACCAAAAACATTGGAAATCTTTAATAACAAAACATTTAATTCATCGATTTTTTTAAATGTGGTGAACCGTATTATAAATACATTTAAGCTCCAACGAATCCGTAAAAAGTACTACTTATTGGCCACTGCATTTATTTTGCTCCACTTGGATAGCCCACCCGTTAACCCGCGTTTCCGCGAATCCGGCCCCGTGTGCGCTCTGTTTATTTATAAACGCCAAATTGCCCGAGCAACCCCTCAAAAGAAAAGTGCAATTGAAGGTGCCGCATCGAGCGTGATAGGATAATTGGGATTGCAACAGTAAAGAACTCACCTGGAAGAGCCGCTGGAAGGCGTAGTAGCCGCAGGACAACGCCACAAATATCCAAAATACACCGTTTATCAGGTAATAGAGGTCTATATCCCTGACCATAGAATCAAAGCGGTCGTTGGTGATTAAGTATTTCAGCGGCAGGAAGAAGTTGCTGATCTCCGCCCAATAGTCGGGCGGACCGGCCTTCATGTCCAGTATGGAGGTCATGCTGCTCCTCGGCGGGACTTCCCTTTCTGCCGCCCCAGAATCTCGTTTTCGTTTTCCTCGTTTTCCGCACGATAATTTTGTTTGGAAGAGTCAATCGACTTTTGAGATATCGATAGGCCCATCGATAAGACTTTGGTTATGCGATAGATCTTCTCAATATTCTGTTACAGACCTGTTAACACTGCTGTTAGCAGCAAATATGCGCCAAATTTGAAATTGATAATTATGTAAAAACATATGAACATATGATTTATAATTATAATTATTTCGCCAACCTAGTAATATGTCATCCGCTTTGGCTAAAATCGAGGACTTTCCCTCTGATCCCGTGGAGTTTTTTAAGAATATCCTGCAGGCTGTTACCTATGAACATCCCGATGGATATATGCAAGAGATGAACCTGGCCACCGTTGACGACGAATTTGGAGTTCTTAATCGAACTGTTCTGTATCGAGGACTTACCGAAGATAATTGTGTGTACTATATAACTCATCGATATACCCGCAACTTTAAGAATCTTCGAGTCAATCCCAAGGCCTGCATTACCTTCTATTTGCCAACGGTCAAGGATAAAACTGGAGAGCAGAGTACCTGGCAGGTGCGACTGATTGGGGCCACCGCCGTAGAGCTTCCCGAGAGTGCAATGGATGCATTGTGGGCCAAGGAGAATTTAAGTGCTCAAATCAGAGGTCATATTTGTCCCTGCGGAGAACCCATTAACTATGATGATCTTAAGGCAAAGCACGACCAATTCCTCCTGGAGCACAAGGAAAAAGCCATCGAGAGACCTGCTAGCTAGTAATTATAGTTTAATTAAATTTATGTTTTCATATCACTTATAATTTTAATATCTTTTAGTACTGCCTTGAAGTTCCAGCCGCAGCGATGGGATTTCCTGAAGGTGGGACTTGAGCAAATCGCCGATCGGGTGCAGTATCGTCTCCAAGGCAACGGAAAATGGGAGTCCATGCACGTCTCAACTTAAAAGGGGAATCATCCCAACACTTTTATAATACATCCTAATTTAGACAATTTCATTTTATTCAACAATATCTTTCTACAAACAGCTAAACGTAAATACTAACAACTAAATTTGCTTCCTTTTTGACATGTTTAACATACAATTACAACATAGTTAATAAATATTACACAAAACAGCAAAAAAAAGGACGTTTAAAGAATAGTTAGCGTATAGTTAGGTTCGAGTAACATTAGAGCAGGTTAGTTACATATGCTTAATTGGTTGCTTTGCTACACACACACACACACGCATAATACCCAGTGAGTTCGGTTCCGTTTTCTACACAAATGCTGGGGGCCGTGATGCCGCCCCATTGGACTATACCGCACTGATCGTCTCCCGGATCCAGGCAGCATTTGATGCGATCTTGTCGTACATCCTAGGTCGCTCCACACCCGTGGGACCGCAGGCGATCCGCCAAGACGAGACACCGATTAAGGCCCACTGATTGGTGCCAGGGATCAGGCACTGCACAGGTGCGCCCGAGTACTCCTCTTGCTGAAGGAGGAGAATAAAACAAAAGAAATTGGATATAAATATTATTATTATTTAAATTGTAAATATCATCTTAATAAATAGAAGGGTTCACTGTATAAATAAATAACTCGAATTTTTAAATAAATTATAAATTAAAATGTTTTGGGATCAATCTTCTTATATTTCGTCATTGAATTAAACTCGTGACGTGTCGCCCAATTGGCGATCGTGACGTCATACGCACGCGACATGCAGCAACGCGTTCTACGCAGAACAACAACAAAAGCAATCGAAACAAAAACAAAATAGAATGAGTAATTTTCTCTCGCTGTCGCTTGCTCTCTCCAATTGCCATTCAAGTGAGCACGAGCGAACACGCACACAAATACACTTCAACAACCCCCGTTACCTGCGATGGTTTACCTAGGATAGCAAAAACAACAACTATGAGTGCAGCTGCAGGCAGACAAAAAGAAAGGGAAAAAGGAGACAGCCAGAAGAAGAAGCAACGGTAAAAGGGACAGAAAAAAACATACTTAAAAGGTAGCGCCAAGAATTGCCTGCATTCATTCGATCGTGAACTTTCCAAGCGGTCGCATCGCAGAGAATAGCGTTAAAAAAAGAATATAAGATATTCCAGTGTAAAAACCAAAATCTAAAGGGGACTTAAAACAAAAGATGACTGATACAAGGAGCAGCTTAAAGATCCTTTTCCGGGGAGAGACACGCCTCATCACTTGTGGATCTTCAAACACCTACGAAGAGGTCATCTCCCAAGGTGAGTCACGAAATTGGATTGTAAGCCATTTAATTGAATAAAAAATATTGTGCACAAAAAAGGCGGCCGGCCCATCAACATTCTATACATATATCATTTTCATACGGCATAATATGAAATTAAAACGATGAAAATATACATTTCAAATACTTTCCAAAGTGATAAAAATAATACTTATGTATAACCGATTCATTTTTTTCTGTGTTTTATATTGTTTGGTCTTGCCTTAAATGTGTATTATTATTCAATATTTAAAACCTTAAACCAGATTTTAATCAATTTTATTATTTTCCAGCTATGTCCCATTTCGGTATTCCGGAGACTCAAAGGAATGCCCTCATCCTAACAAATGGCAACGACTATGTGTTTGAGGCGCACTTGCTGGAGTACTTCCTGCTGCTGTTTCCCTGCCCGGAGATCACCTTTCACTTGAGGTTCGACTGGTCCCAGATGCGTCGAAGTCTCAGCAAGAAGGAGACCCTTAAGCGAAAGCGTCCAGTGGACCAGGATCAGGCTACCGGCCAACAAGTGGAGGAGGAGGCAAAGGAAGAACCAGTGCAAGAGTACAAGCCAGTGCCGGTCTACCGGATGAATTGCTTTTTGGGATCGTTGCCCAGTGGAAGGGCTGTTCCAGTTCATCGCCAGAATGGGTTCCTCAGGGAACAAACACAACAACTGGCGGATATTTCCACAGCTCGGCTGCTGGATGAGGAAGTCCAGCAGCAGGAACCGCTTAAGAAGCGTCTTCGCTTGGATGTCTGTGCCAAGCCTCGACGCACTGGGTCCACATCAATGGGCCCGTCTCCCATTCCTGTCATGCGCTCGATTCGCATTTAAGGCTCACTGATCATCATTTGTACATACATAGATATAGTACGTATACGATATTCCATCTAAATGTAGTCATAAGCTAAAAGGTTGAACCACTGTTCCTAAGACTAACACTATGCCTATCTCACCAAAAAAAGTCCAAACCAAATGTTATATTATATGAAATAAATATTTTTTGTTAATATTTTAAGCTTATCGAAAGCAATTTAGTTCCTAAATTATATTTTAGCAGATTTGATTAAGATTTAATTAATTACCTATTAACTTTTGTTTTCCGACTTTAAAACAATTTAAACTTTTTAAAATTCCAATTCATTATTTTGAAATTTTCAAGTCTTATATTAGTTTTCAATCTCAAAGTCATTTATAAAAATCTAACCAGTAAAATAAGTTATAAAGTTATAAATCTTTTACTCTCAGTGAATGGATTCAGTTTAATAAAGTTAAGTCATTTTTCAAAAATAATCTACGTATTCTTATTTATTATTAGTTGATAGGGATTTTGTACTCACCGTGCAGTCGTACTTCTGATAGGTGGCCTCCATGCACATGGAGTTCACAGTGGCGATGGACACATTCTCACAGGGCGCCATGTCACCCATCTTCAGCTGGACACGCTGCAGATGATCCCGCTGTCGTGACCAGCCGAGGGTATTGCAATTTGTCCAGATCTGGTCTTGAGCAGCCGGCCCAGCTGCCAAAACGGGAGCCTTGGTGGCTGTCCGAGCGGATGAGGACGAGGATGTGACCGTCGATCCCGAGGAGGACGAGCTGCCGCCATAGTAATTCACCTGAGGCGCATGATCCGGCAGAGGATACGCATCCAATTCCTGGTGCAATGCCTCGGCTTTGGGCATATACGAGGCGGCTGCCTCAACACCGAAGTGATTCTCCTGATTATCCTGATCCTCTTCACCCTGATTCTCTGTGGAGCTATCCAGCTGCTCCTGCGATGGAATCAAGAAGAACTGCTGGTTCTCCTGGGCCAGTCGACTACGCGGTTGGGTGACCAACTGGCCTTCTAAACGCTCGGCCACCGGTACGTGTGATCTTCTTTGGGCTGGTTGCTGCTGCAGCAGGCGTCTTTGCAAGGCATCAGGCAGGCAGATGGGTCTTACGTGATCGGAGTAATTGACTGGGGTCTCCAGGCGCACCAGTGCCGCCGTTGAGCCCTCAACCGGACTTTTAATCATGCCAATGATACGACGTCTCTGCGTCCATGGTGCCTTAGCCGACAGACGAACTGCACCCACAATGGCCATCCAGGTGGCACGCGGCTGACCTTGGAAACAGCCCTCAGTGGTAAGGACCCAGTCCTGAGAGATCAATGTGCCGTCACACACGTGGATATCTTCACGGAAAAGGGCCACCAGCCACGGCCAATCGCCAGGCGCCGACATCTTGGGCAGCGACAGATGTTGCTTTGCATTGAAGAGCGCTGACTGGACACCACATCTCAGCTCTCCACATCCCACGTATAGCACTTGCCGACGGGGACAGTGTGTTCGGATAAAGCTGATCTCCGGCGCATGGGGATCGAGTACACGGACGTAGTCTTTCAGCTGCTCTGTGTCGTTCTGGACGTCAAAAATTTCCACTGATCTGCGGATGGGTGATAAAATACAGCAATAAACAACAGAACAATCTTGGAATTTCTAATATATAAAGAAATAAACTTACTCGTATCCTAGGGACTTGCAAAGCGATTCGGAAACGGTTTGGCGCACCACCAACTTGGCATCGCCTTCCAAACCCTCGGCACACAACTTGCCCACCACTCCCTTCTCGGAAAACACGGCGTAGCCGGCGGAATGGAAGCGAGAGAGGTACGGAACCAAGGGCTCTGGATGCAATAAATCGGCAGCCAAAGGAGCTATAGATACTACAAATGGTAGAAAAACGATTTTAAGTTGTTTACTGATTATTAATGTAAACTTTTTTAGGGTTTAAAACCCAATACTTACAGCAATCCTTCTCATCGGCGCCATCTGGACAATCCGCCTTGCCGTCGCAGCGTGCCTTGCGTGGGACACAGGCTCTACCACGTCCACAATACAGAGCATTCGGGGAGCAGAACGCACAGCTCCGTTCGTCTGATAAATCCGGGCAATCAGCATAGCCATCGCACAGCCGTGGACTCTGAACATTGGTCTGCATATCGCTGACACAGTGGGGCTTTTGGTGGCACGACTGAGTGCCCGTAGACTCTGGGAAGCGTTCGCAGTCGAAGAATTGCCGGAAACGCTGCGGCAATCGACCACCGCATCCGGCCATAAAGGATTCACAATATTCTCGGCAAATCTGGCCTGGAGTCGGTTGCAAATCGGAGCCGTGGGTATCGCATGGCGGCTGTAGAAGCCGACATACAAAGTCGTAGGCCTCACGATGGCATTCACCGTCCACCAATTCCCGGAACACAATCACATCCTCCGCCAACTGCTCGTAACTGGTGTGTCCCAAAAGATTCGGATAGGTCGTTATGTTGTAGCCCACCTGGCGGCAATATGTCAACTCTAGTGGTGAACAGCGACGTGGCGGAGTCGGCGTTGTGGTCACCACCGGTTCCGTGGTCTCATCATGTCCACCCAGCGGTGAACTCGACATCACTGGCTCCTCTATCAGACCGGTCGTTTCCTTGATGCTTAAACTGGCCACGTCCACGGTCATGTTGGCAAAGTGGCGACGTTGCTGCGGCGGCTGGGTCATCTCCTCGTGGAACAGAGCCAAAAGGTCACCACTGCTCACTAGCCCAGCGTACGGATCGAAGATCATGTTGAAGTGCACGACTATATTGTTGTTGTCCTCGCTTCTGTGGATTCAAATGAAAAATTTTTAAAGGTAATAATTATGATTTAAAATTTTAAGATTAATTCTCTTTTCATCTTACCCATCCAGTGCCAAAATTTCGCTGCCCTCGTAAGCTTCTCGCAGGTCGGATCGACGCAGAGTTAGATTGATTCGCTCCCGATAATCTCGTGCCTTGTGTTGGAACCTCATTGAGTTTTGGTTGGCCAGCTCCATGTTCCACTTGTCGTTCAGCACCATGAATCGTCCGCGGAAAACGCGATCTGGCAACGGCTCCGGTCGGAAATAGGTGTCTACGATGGGTAAAGAAGTGTAGATTATTATACCTCCATTGCTATATATAGTTTATATTGAAGTACTTACATCCCACATAGACAAAGACTCCGGCAACGAGGAGGGCGATGAGGAATCCAGCGATGACGGCGCAGCCGCACTTTTGGCCATCGCCCAGTTTCCGGCGGGTGAAGCGGATATCCGAATCGGTAGACAGAACGGACTCGGACTTTCTCCTTAGCCCATGATTGTGCTGGTGCATGTGTAGGTGATGTTCCCGTTCCCGTTCCCGCTCCCGTTCTCTCTCTCTGTCCCGCTCCCTATCACGCTCCCTGTCCCGTTCCCTTTCCCGATCTCGTTCCCGCTGCTGTGTGGCTTCAAGCTGTGGTCCATTGGAGTTGGCCCCTCCAACGCCGGCGGAAGCTGTCGATCCATTGCCATGACTATGGTGCGGTTTGTGGTGCCTCGTGCATCGGGTGTTGTGGAAAATTTTTGGCGGTTGGGATGTGGTTCCAACGCCAACTCCAATAGCGCCACTCGGATTGGGATTGCTTTGGACAATGCCCTGCGAATAGCCGGCAACAACAACAAAAATAAGGAAAAAAAGAAACCAAACACAGACAGTATATAGCATCAGTATTAAGCACTTTTCGGCGGACTCAATAATTAAGCAAGGTCGCTGACCAGCTAAGCGCCTTAAATGCTGTTGTATTTTCAGCCAAATCATGCCGTTAAATCAAATCACGGAACGAACCTGCTGAGAAAACTCTAAAAATGAAACAGAAAAATCCAAAATCTCGCACTTGAAAATTGTTTTTTTTTTTGAGCCTCTAATGCCGCTGCAGCATGCAAATGCAGCATGCGATATTGTTTTGTGCGAGGAAGCAGTAGCATTAATTAAGGAAATTCGAATTTTCGGACAATTTATGTTTAGCAATTAAATCAAATTGCGCGCCAGCGTTGAAGCATAGCCGGGCGGCTTAGCCAAATCAAAAGATGCCTTACCGGGGGTTAATTTGAATTTTTATAAAAATGTAATACTTAATGCGTATGTACTTTATTTATTTTTGATTTGATTAATTTAGTTAGAACACAAAATCTTTTTTTAATTACTAAATAATCTCCTCATTTTTTATATTTTAACCAGGCTTTAATAGCACGTAACATAGCGGCGAAATACGGGGGAATTGGCTTTTATGTTGCAGTTGCGAAAGCGGCTAAAACAGAATAACAGAACGCACAGACACACACACACACGGCCACAATTTAGAAAAACAATTAAAGCGCAACTAAGGTAAGAGGAAAAAACCATTGCTGTTACCACCACTTTTCTTGGGGCCACGATAAAAACGGGTCAGCACTCGGCCCAGTTTCAGTTTTCCTCGTCGGCTGCGTGATTCCAATATGATGTGATGTGTTGGGTTGTGTTGTGATGCTGGTAAAGCAAACTCAACAGCAACAGCAACAATAACAATAACACTAACAATAACAATGCTAAATAAAGTCCAGTGAACAACGAGTAATTAAACCCAAATGGCTTCCTCGTTTCATAATCTGGCATCGGTCAACACTTTTCGCCGGCCAATTCCACTCTCAACACTTTTACGCATTTTAACACTCAGCCGCCCAGTTTCCCAATCCAATTTCGCTAATTCTCTTTGGCTTTCTTTCGAGTAAATGAGGGGAAAACAACAGATCTGTTGCTTAGATTTTTGAAGCTGATCCAGATGTTACCAAACTCGAAGATGAAGATTCCCGACACTAATTTCTTTTTATTACCAAAAAAATTTCCTTAAGAAATACATTTGCATCTTAATAAATGTCACTATCAACTTGACCATAACTGTGCATATATACATACATATATATGTCACTAAGCGGGCCGTCAGATGGATTGGAGCTTCTATGTATGCTTGCAATTGCGTGAGTCAGAAGTCACTGGGCCGCTAGTTACCTCATTTCATTTTGTATCTTTAGTTCGCACTTCGCATTTTCCGCATTTCCCGCCCACTACTTTCGCTTTTTCTTAATTTCCTTAATTACCGCATAACTAATTACGCTCACCTTCCAATTTTTACCGTTCGTCTGCATGCTCTTGTCTTTGTTACGATTACTGCAGTTATTGTTGTTGTTCTTCTTATCAGCAGCCGTCATATTGGCCGCATTTGTATTGGTATTGGTTAGCGGCAATGGGGCGGATGATTTATCCGAGTCGCGAGATTTTTTCATCTGCAAAAAATTAGTAAGGGAAAATTTTGCGAAATTAATAATTTAATGTCTGAACATATTTTATCGAAAGGTAAGTTTGTATAGGAGAAAATTAAGTTTATTAACTAGAAGATAAGATAAACAAACTGATTGCATTGAAAACTACATAAAGAAAAGATTATTTACTTAATTAGGAGCGCCGAACTTATCAAGATTTGTTCAGCAGTCATCCACCGCCTCAGCACAAAATAAACTTTAGTTCAGTTTTAATACAACCGCCCACGGCAGAAATAGTTGTCTTAGTTAGCAGCATAATAAAACCAAAATACAACTCGAACAAATCACAGTAGCTATTCGGATATTATTACTTTCAAATGTCAAAAAAAGTAAAACCTCTATAAGGCATACTAATTAATGTTTAACTCATGACTTATCTAATTTCATCTGAGTCCAATGACATATTGCATTTATAAACTACTTAGCTTTCTGTTAAGGAAATGAAAACATAAATTAAACAAAATTAAAGACCGCTTAAGTAAAGTTTTGATAAATCGCAATGGTCTACAAATGGGAAGACAATCTCAAAACGAATGAATTCCATCACATAACCATAATGGAGGAGCACTTTCCCATATTACAAAATGTCAATCGTTGTAATTAAAAAATATGTCACAATTGTAATTGCCCATTTTGACTATGTAATTCGAAGAGATAGGTCTAACCCTTTTCGTTGGGTGCTCACTGTACCGCGATCAGCCGGCCAGTGAGTGGTGAAAAACAAAAAAAAAACAGTATAATTCATTGTTGCAGACCTGGTAATGGAGACGACATGCGCCGGACGCCCGAAACTAACCGACTAACCAACCGGACAGGTGCTAATTGTGCGACTACGAATTTAGAACGGTACCCTCGGCACCCTTGCCCCTCCCGTTCGGCATACCCCACCCTAAAAACAATCTCCGTTCACCGCCCTCTGGGCCATTTTAAACATGACTCGAAAAATGAGTGAAGCTCGCTCCAGTTTTTTTGTGATTATTTTTTAACCCAAACGAAAGACCAACAGACTAACAAAACCATCATGTTCGTAATGCAGGCGGGCCAATGTCAAGAAAAGAAAGTTTCGTTGTTGGTTTTTCGCTGCTTATTGTTTATTTATTTCATTTCGTTTAGCAGTTCGTTTACATATTTTTGATTATGCGCTGAAAAAGCCACAAGTTTGCTCCCATTTATTTGATGTCTATTTCGGTCAGTGTTCTCTGGTAACCGAGATTTGTGAGGGGTTCCACATAGGGAATTTTGTATGTAGGCTTTTGAAAACATACTGATAGATGGTTGTAAAGTTCTTGAACTGAAAAGGTATTATGAAAAAGAAGTGAAATCTTCTATTTGCTGATCTTTTACACATTTAAATATTCAATAAGAGTCTCTGTGGCAAGGGCGCCTGTTGAACTCGGTCATCAGTGCGGCCACTTTCCTTTTCAAACAAAACTCAACAAAAAAAAAAAATTCAAAAAATCTCACTGCAACTTTCTTCGCTTCGCTGCGAAGACCATAAGGTCAACCAGTCTAAAGTCAGGGACTCTTGGGAGCCTTAGACTTTCGATATGTGGCAAAAGTTCAAATGACTGAGGCCACGAACTTTTTTTTTCCCATTTCCATTTTCATTTCCACAACTGACAAGTGTCATTCGAGGAAAAGCGAAGAAGCTTCGCATTTTTGAATCGGTTGGCCTTTTTTTTTTGCACAAAGCGAAAGCGAATTTTTTCGTGCCAATTGCAGTCGAATATACATAGTATTTTTATTGTTTTTTTTTTTTGTGCAGCTTATTGTGAATTTTCAAAGCCAAGGCGATGCAACTGGAAATGAAAGTGTTTTTGTTGCTGCTTCTGCCAGTGCAAACACGTTTCGGCAAACATGTTTGAGCGAACTCCAGTCGACATCAACTGTTGGCTCCCCAAACCAAAACCGAAAAACCGAAAATCCCCGCCGCGCCCCTCAAAACGAATTTTCCTAATTAGTCGCCCGTGTGAAAGAAAAGCGAAAATGAAACGTGGCTCCCAAACGACAACAACATTTGGCATCTGTGCATCATTATTCGCATTATTATGTACCCATGTTGCTAGTAAGAGTTTCCACAGAACAATTAAAAGGCTACAAGGGGGAAATAGCCATGTGCAACATCTCGAAATCGTAGTTTTATGCAGAAACAATGGTATATATATATATACAGTATATAGCTATGGAACCAATCCTACAAATTGGGCTAATAAAATGCGGTTACAATGGCAGGCCCATATACTCGTGTAAGAAAATTGTGGCACCAAATTACTTCTTTGTCCCGGGTTCCCACTATATATCTGGAGCTTATGCTAGGAAAACTTTACTTTAATCGTCTTGGGAAGTCATATAGCTTTATATTTTACCTTGAAGATTTAAATATATATATAATCTTCTTTCCTTTTAAATTATTTCTATTAAATAATTAAATCTAAAGTTACAAAGTTATCCAGTATTTGTTTTGCAATTGAGATTAATGCAACATTACCACTTGATGATGGAGAGAGTAAGCTGAGATAGATATCCCCCCTTAATTTATGCAATAATGTGAAAACCTAAGATAAATCAGTAGTGAGTAATAAGCCAGGGGGCTTGAATTTCACCTCGTTAGACCATGGGGCAGCCAAGTTACGAAAGTTAGGAACCCCATACCATCATATGCGTAAGCGGCATACAGAGTGGGACAGCTTCTGGTCAAGTTTCAGGCCGATCATTCGAAACTCGCGCTCAAATATCACATTTCACACAGATTGTTTCATTGTTGCATTTGTTGCACTTAAAAGTGGAGACACGTGCGGCCAACAGAGTGGGAGCAGAAAACGGGAACGATGACGGATTGAAGAGGGAACCAATAGAACCGGGAATGGAGCGGAAATGGAGGAGTTTGCCGCAAGGGAACAGAAGGGAGCACTCGGTAGACACGGCAGCTGTGACAGCTTTTCACTAATTTCCCTTCAAGCAGCCGCCGCAGACTCTGTTTTTCTTTAAGTTTTCTCGGTTTTCTCAGTCGCAGCTGCCACTCAATCGTGACGAATTAATAACGGAACGTTTGCCGAACGAACAAGGGGAAAGCTGCAGCTGAACAATAAACGGCTCGAGGAGCCCTCCTCCCCCTTCCTCTTCTCCACTTCAGCCTCCTCCCAAGTTGGTAACAACAAACCAAAAAACAAATCCGACGACAAGGCGAATACAGTCGTACGATAAAAGCGAACAGCTTTGACCCCTTCAAGGAGCATTTGCCACTGCAACTGTCGCGCTCCCACTCTCTCCGGCATACACTGAGAAAAACATAAACAATTGTATAATATAAGCCTAAAAATTTGTATTTTTCCGAAATTAAATTTCTGTAAAATGTCTCAGGGTTGTCAGAATCGTAAACTGTTAACTGTTTTATAATCACAAAAAGAAAACCAATAAAATTGCATTCAAGGAATATCAGAATTGGACAAGAAAAAATTTTAAAAATTTTTCATTTTTTTGTAAGGTACCCCTTACAGAATTTTCAAAAAATTGCCAAATTTTTATTTTTAGATATTTGAAAAAATTTGAATGCCACTTTTAGTAGCACCAAAAAAGATTTTAAAAACCGCCATTCCTCTTGAAATAAAATAATTTTTGACGGTTTTATAGAGATTTTACCAATTAAAAACACACCAAAAAAGTTAATTTTTTTCTAGAAATTGGGCGCAGGCATTATGCTTCTCCTTAAACGCATAAGTACGTGTCTGGTGGATTATCTTTTGGATGGGATAGGATCGGGAAAGATAGATGGCTTCGGTTTAGCCGGGCTAATGCCAGCAAACGGTGACGACGACGTGACTGAGACCGATTCTTCGATTTTCTGATCACTTCGAAACTGGGTTGCCTTCTTTTTCTGGGTGTGTGCCTCTTCGCAGTTAAAGTGGGTGAAGTCGCAGTGAGTCATACGAAAACCCGACGGCCTACGATCACAACTAGCAAGCCACACCAATTATTGCAAATTAAAATGCAATCCAGCGAGGGAATACACAGAGAAAATCAGTTGGGCAAGTTAATGATTTTTTGAGTTTTGTTAGTCTCAAGTTATTTTCTGTGGTAACAATTATGTGTAACTTACTTTTTGTATTATAATTTAAGTTTTATTTAATGATGAAATCATATTTTTTGTAGTGTACCTTGACAGCTTTTAAAGTCGGATCCGTGGCTTTGTTATGAATTCCAAATGAAGTAGAAAGTTCTCAGGTTGAACAACAGAAAAAAAAAATCGATCATTGGAATGCCGCTGGGCGCTTTCTTGGCCATTTACTCATTTCGTTTTTCTTTCTTTTGCCCACCGCACCTATCGGCCTCTCTTCTCTACACATAGCGCCCTCCTACTCTACTGTTTTACCTCTTCTAGGCCGAAGAATTGTCTATTCAGAATGCGATTCTTCGAGCCAAAATGGGAATGGGATTGTTTAGCTGTGGCTACGATTATGTGGGAACCAAAGAAGATTTCAAATATTAGTTTACAAATTACCATAAATAAATACAAAGACAGTAGAAAGACTTAAAGAAGCGAGTTCGGAAAGCTTATGCAGGAAATTATTTACATGGATTAAAAAATATGCTTTTTTTTTATTACTTACTATAAAAATAAAACAATTATTTTAAAATCAATAAAAACCTTTCGAATTACATCTGGCAAACTCCCACAATTAATTTCTTTTCTCAAGGCAACTTTAAAATGTTTAACCGCGCAGTTTAAACTTTTTAAGACTTTGGCATTCCCACAATTTCCAAAAATATAAAAAGTTAATTTCCGCTGAGATTAGCATATTTAATTGAAATTTTGCAACTATTTTCGACGGCAAACTGCAGCAGGAAAATGCCACAAAAGGTAAACAGCTAAAAAAGAAAACAAAAGCGAATAAAAATCGAAAAAACACGCCTTGAAAAACCAACGAAAAAATTAAAAAAACAATTTGCCCACGCCGCTGACGTCACTGGTTCAAGGCTTTATGCAGTGTGATTTTTTTGGCTAACTACAAATGAAAAATTATAAAAAAAAATGTAGATATTAATTATTAAAAATAGATTTATAGAACGAAGTGGTCAGACAACCTCATAAATCGCAGTCTTATTAGCAGCGAAAGAGGGAAGAAATGAAGTGAAGATTTGTAGGGGTTCAAGATTTGTGCTACTTTCTTCGGGGAGCGCAGACTCTTCTTTTGTGATTTTTGTCATTGTTTGTTTTGTTTTCCCTCCTTCCTTCTTCAGGTCTTTATCCCTCTTTCTTTCTCTCCATTGGCTTCTAATTTATTTCAATGACATTTTACGAAAAATGCAAGCAGTGGGAGAAAGTTCTTTTATCTTTCTTGCACTTACAGTAGACGTATTAAATTTACACCGGAAAAAAGGATGTAGGGCTTAATTTAACTTTAAAAATTTAAAAATAAATGCCTGCTTAATGTTTAAAAGTTATAAATCTGATAATACATTTTTTTTTCAATGCACTTTTTCCGCTGCTTAGTCGCTTTACTGCTTTAATGATTTGCTACTTTGCTTTGTCAAAAGGTCGATTCAAAAAATATTTGATTGCGCTCAAGCTAGCAGAAATATCAAGCTCAGCTTAACCCTCAACAGAGCATATCTAATTTCATTTTAAATATTAATGTAAATGTTTTTATAATCGTTTAGTTTGTTTTTAGTTTAAACTTGTTCAAATAAGGAATATGTAGCTTACGTTAGAAGCTAAATATCATGGAATGAGCAGAATAGTTGGCATGTAGAGGGTTAAGTCTATTTATTTACCAAGCCGAAGTTGTTGCTGTATTGTGGCATTTGTCCAAATGGCAACAACATTTTTTTCAATTTTGTTGGTAGTGGCTTTTTGCCGCTATTGGATTTTCTTTGGTAAGGTGAACCTGTTGCACATGACTGCAAAATGTGACAGCCAGTGAGAAACGCGACTTGGAGCCAGATAAAAATGGCTAATAGGCAAATCTTTGGCAAAAGGAAAAGTTTCCATAAATTGATGATGCTATAAAGATTTATGAACTCCCATTGAAAGTTTTAAGTAGAGATGGTATCCTATGGATCGTTAATACTAAGAAAACAGAAATTCTTTGATACATTCATCAGAGACTTGCAAATCCCCAATTAGTGGTGTTTTAAGCTAATTGTTTCTTCTTGTTATTTTGCTCTTATGGCGTCACCGATTTCTGGTGTCGCTGATAATTGTGCAAAAAGAAAAAAAACAAAGAAGACAAAATAGAAGAGAGTGAGGAAAAAATTGCAAACGAAAACCAAAAATAGCTAAGACAATAATGGGGGCCCACCAGTCAGATAAGCATAGAAAAACATAGAAAAATATAAAAAAAAAAATAGCCGCAAAGCAAAGTCAGCAGACAACTGAAAGTTGTTGCGTTTGTTTCTAAGCCAAACGAGTTTGTTGTTGTCGCTGCAATCACTTTTTGGCGCATAGACTCAAGCTCAAATCCGAATCCAAACCCAAACTCCAGACCCCAGACTAGACCCATGGACTTATTGGAATGCCAAGCCGCACACACATGCCGATCCACAGCTGTGGTCATCGTTATAGTGGTTTTAATAGGAATTTTAATAAGAAGTTTATAACTGGAAAGCTCATAAAAATATATAGATATGATTTATATAGTAAGATTTTCCCTTACTCATTTTAGTGTCCTTCCATAGTAGTTAACATTAATTTAATATTACATCTAACCTATATTTATGTTCATGACTGTATTATATGCACACATATATGTGCGGTACTCCTAGAGATCGAAGCTTAAATTACAGCGGGCGGACTTTTAAGAAAATAAAACGAAACGAACCCACAACAATCACAGCATAAACTCTAAATTGCTCAATAGTCGTTGTATGCCTTTGGCGGCCAACACCAACAATTGCAACAACAACATTTCGGGAGACCTATTTAAAAGCACACACGCCCTGCAACAACCAACAAGCAACAACTAACAACAATAAATAACTAACAAGCGAGAAAAACTTTGGTCAAGCCAAAAGCCTTGGTACAAATTTCGTGAATAATACCCTTAGCAAATGTTTCTTAAAAATGCCTCTTTTTTCGTACTCCATGGCCTTGGTTCACTTGGCCAACCGATTAGAACCCAGCATCAAATGGAGACAATTTGTTAGACAATTTCCACATGTGCATCGAAAATTATTTAAAAAAATAAAATATACCCTACCTTGATGTTAACAAATATTCTTAATAAAATTATTAAACCTTTAAAGCTCAAATGAAAGGTTTGGTAAATATAAGACTTAGCCGTAATGTTTATTTTTTGATTAAGTTTGAGTTTTTAATTTTTAATGAATTCTTAAACAGAAAATCATCCCCTATAAAATTGTAATAAAAAGCCAAGTTCATGTTCATGTTTCATACTAAGAGCATAAGTTATTCGTTTTTTTTATAAAACAGTTTTTTTCTATTATTGTTGCAAACGACATATTTTGTTTTTGAAAAATTCTCATCAGTTAAGACAACAAAAGGAAGAGAAACAGCGACAACAGCAGGTATTCAGCGACTCATTTCACAAACAAATTTATACACGCCACTAAAAAACAGTTGTTGACTGCTGGGAGAAATACAAAACACAACACAAGCTACAAAAAACAAGAGGGAAATAATAATAAAGAAAAGCAACAGAAACCGAAAAATTTTGCATGAAAACAGCTGCAAATTAAAAAAAGTACAAAAAAGAGAAGACTGAAGACTTGCAAAGACAACGCATTCTACACAAAAAGAAATTCAAGTTCAGTTTTGAAAAAAAATTGTTTAAATTTTTTTTAAAGGTTTTCACCTTTATCAAAAAAATATATTAAATTCGGTTTAAATTAAACATATAAAGTATACGACACGTTTCCCATTAAATATGTATGCTGTAATCCAAGATCAATGATAATCATTTACTTTTTTTTTGTGTGGCAAAACTTTTGATTTCTTTTGTCAAGTCGGTCCAGATTTTTACAGCCAAGCTCCCGAGGCAAAAGCAACAATTTTAATAATAACAACAGCGTGCGGCAAAAGTAAGTTACTAAGTCAAAATTGGCTTATAACGGGACGCACTTTCACTTAAACGCAGCTCAAGTCGCTGCTCTCTTTCTTTGTATAGGTGTGGCTTTGTGTGTGTGTGTGTGGATGCTGCCGCCTCTTGCTCCGAAAAGGGGGCGTGGCTTTATAATTTCCATAAATTTTACTATAGCCAAGGCACCGTACGTCAAATTCCCAAGTCCAGTGACTGGTAGGAATAAGTCAGTCATAACTCAAATATTTTCAAAAAATATATAAATTAAGATATATTAAAACTGATAAAATAAATGTTATATCAATATATAAATCAATATTAAGTAACAATTTACCATAAATTTATAAGTTTAATAATGGATACCCACATATTGTTGACCCATTTTACTATTTATATTGAATTTATATATAATTTCTTGAGTGAATTTATAAAACTAAAATTATTTCTTTGAAGATTAATGAATGCAAAAATCAAATGTGCGAAAGAAGTTGCGTTTTATTTCTTAGAAATACTAATGACTTGACTCCAACGAATAATCAATGATTACCATTGCTTTAATTATTGGCCATTTTAATGAGCGGAATAATTAATGTGCTCGCATAAGAGGGCGTTAACTTGCAACGAACACTGTGCTGGCTATATGTGGTGTACCATTTGGATGCTGCGATGCCGTTACTGATTGGAAATCGTTAGCAGGTTACCGATATCACCGACTAGTGCAGCACATTATGCAATCCACAATCCGCAGCACGACAAAAAAGCCAAACATTTACTGTTTCCAACGACGCTTTTACTTTTGTTTCATTAATTATGGTTGCTCGACGATTTCCAATTATGACAGCGCGATTGGAAAGCCGTTTAAGCCAAGTGACCAAAAATAAACCAAAGAAAACTAAACCAAAAATGTCCAAAAGATTGTTGCCCTTTTCAGAATTCCACTCTATAATCGCAGTCAAAAAGATTTGGTATTTTTTGTTTGGAATTTTAAAAGCCATTTAAGAAAGGCAAAGCGAAGTATGGTAAGTGGCCCCCAGGAATCCATAGATATTATATTTGACTATTGTTAGGAAAATGTCGAAACAATGCACTTGAGTTTTTACCTCTGGGCTAGTATAGAGGTTTAAATCGCTTTACTTGCCTTTTACTAAAGATTTATAAGTCATTAAATATGTAGAAAGTACTAACATTTGGTTAATAATAATAATTAACAACAATTAAATTTAGAGCAAAATAGCATAGTATAGTGCAGAATGTAGTGCCACATTTTGCTGTTACTATGCACATAAAAAAAAAAAAGATAATTAGAAGTTCAGAACTAGAGAAATGTGTACTTTCAGACCTCTGATTAAGTTTAACTACTGCCCGCTGGAATTAACCGCATTTCCTGGCGGCACCGCCGACTGGTAATTGATTTGAACTAGAACTCACCTGGCTATTGCTGCAGTAGTATATGTCCGACATCCTGGATCTGTTGATCTAGATGTGGGTTTGGATCTGAACCTGGATCGGAACGGTTCACTGCCCTCCGCCTGCTCCGCTGTCGCGGATTCGCGCCACACCACAACCTTTCAGCTTTTCTCCTTGCTTTCTTTATTAAAACAAAAAAAATTGTAAAGCACTAAGGCCTCAGCATGACCACCAGGTGATCCAGGCGAACTGGCTAACAGGTGAACCAGCCCTAGGTGCTGGTAACTATAATGGCAACCTGTTTTTGCGCCGCGGAAAAGTGTCACACAGATCGGTGGTAATCGATATAGCCAGTTGACGTCCGTTTATTGTTATGATTTTTGTTTTGTTTTTTGGCGGATTAGGTTTTCCGCATATTTATCCGCATTTAGGCAAAACACAATACAACAAAAACAAAATAAAAAAATAAAAAGCAAACAATGCCACACTTCACGCTCCGTCTTGCAGAACACACCACTCGCTTTTCCCGCTTTCCATATGCGCATGCGCGCACCTTTCTTTCGGCTTTACTGCCAGATAATACCATACACTATATATATGCGATATGAGTATGATCAGATCCGAACCACGACCGTCTCGAACAGAGTTAAAACGCCAACTAACTTGGCTGAAACGGGGCGACTTCTTCGCAACGGCCGCAACGAAAGTTGTCGCAACCAGTTTTGAGTCTTCTGAGGCCTCATATTTTCTTCTCTTACACGGCAAAGAAATATTTAAAATAATAATGTTTAATACTTAGGATCGGAACGAAATGTTAAATTTGACAGCTTCATATTTTATATATTTTAAATATTTCATTTTAGTTTTAAAATATTTAGCACCAGATAAAATTAAAATGAAGGAAAGAATCATTAAAGTAAAGACTTTCCTTTCTGTGGAACACAAATGACGCGAGTGCGGGAGAGCTGCGCTGCACTTTTAAGCCGGTAATTTATACGATGATTAATTCGAATTAAGCGCCAAAGATCTCCGACAGTTGTATGTATATGTTGACCGATAAGAAAGTTACGGATGGCAAGGAAAGGCCATTTATTATTTTTAGTTTATTTCAAATTAGACAACATTGTCGATAAAATATATAATTCACGAATTTTTTCTCAGGATTTATGTATCCGTTTGAATTTAAAAATGTAAACAATTAGGAAACCACCTTTAATTTTAAATTAATTAATATTTATATTTGAATTTTGTTATAAAATGTTAAAAGCTTAACAAAATGCGTTTTTAGTTTAGATACTACTAAGTCCCGCTATTTTTGATTTCACGTTGACGTGTGAATGTCCAAAGAAGTTTTGAACAGCTGGCAAATTCGCGTTGCCAATTACTTGTAAAAATAAGAAAACTAATAAAATATTTTCCTGTGGTAAAGAAAAATTTTTATAATAATGCTATTATTATGAGAACATCATTAATCATCACAAGCTGCTTTGAATTACTAAAAAAAATTAATAATTATAAGAACCGATAAATTGCGCGGACGGTCAGCTGTCAACGCGACAGTTGGCAACGCGGTCCGACTGTCAAACCAAAAAAAAAGTTGTCTCTCCGCATTAACAGGAATTAACAGGAATATTTTCCAGCATTTCGGTAGGTTTATGTTTGTTATTGGGGCTTTTACACATCCCTATTTAATTGGAAAGTGTTGCTTAAGCCAAGGACCAACCTTCTGAGTATTCTTCAAATCACCAACAATCGATTTTTGGGCACTGCTGGCCCAGCCAGTACCAAACACTTATGTAATTTTTTTTGGCTATTCCGATTGCAACGGAATTTTGGTTACCATTTCGTTGCAGAAAATATGATACGGGCACCGCTAGTCAAGGCGCTGGGCGCTCTGGGCTCGCCCACACATCAGATGGCCAGCCGGGCGGTGCGAACTAGCGCCGTGGTGGCCCAGACACCGGCGAAGGCGCCCGAGAAGATCGAGGTCTTTGTGGACGACATTCCCGTGCAGGTGTTACCCGGCACCACCGTACTGCAGGTTGGATTGTTGTCTATTGAGTTGAGAGAGCCTTCTCTAATCCTGTATTTTGTGTATCATTTAGGCCGCTGCCCAAATCGGTGTGGAGATTCCCAGATTCTGTTATCATGAACGACTGGCTGTTGCCGGAAACTGCAGAATGTGTCTCGTGGAGGTGGAGAAGAGTCCTAAGCCAGTGGCCGCCTGTGCCATGCCCGTGATGAAGGGCTGGCGCATTAAGACCAACTCCGATCTGACCCGGAAGGCACGCGAGGGCGTTATGGAGTTCCTGTTGATGAACCATCCGCTGGATTGCCCCATCTGTGACCAAGGCGGCGAGTGTGATCTTCAGGATCAGGCTATGGCTTTCGGTTCCGACCGATCCCGATTCACGGATATCAACTACACTGGCAAACGGTAGGAAAGTCTCCTGAAAGCCCTAAACTCAACACTTAAATACTTTTACCTAATCACTGTAGAGCTGTGGAGGACAAGGACATCGGACCGCTTGTAAAGACCATCATGACACGCTGCATCCACTGCACCCGTTGTGTGCGCTTCGCCTCCGAGATCGCCGGCGTAGATGATTTGGGCACCACTGGCCGTGGCAACGACATGCAAATTGGTACCTACGTGGAGAAACTCTTCCTTACCGAACTCTCCGGCAATGTCATCGACTTGTGCCCCGTGGGAGCTTTGACCAATAAGCCATACAGCTTTGTGGCCCGTCCCTGGGAGATCCGTAAGGTGAGCAGCATTGATGTTCTGGATGCTGTAGGCAGCAATATTGTGGTCAGCACCCGCACCAACGAAGTGCTGCGCATCCTGCCCCGGGAGAATGAGGATGTTAACGAGGAGTGGCTGGCCGACAAGTCCCGCTTCGCCTGCGACGGTCTGAAGCGCCAGCGTTTAGTGGCTCCCATGGTACGCATGCCCAACGGCGAATTGCAAGCCGTGGAGTGGGAGGGCGCCCTCATCGCCGTGGCTAAGGCTGTCAAGGCAGCTGGTGGACAGATCGCCGCTATTTCCGGCCAGTTGGCTGATCTGGAAGCTCAGGTTGCCCTAAAGGATCTGCTGAACCGTCTAGGCAGTGAAGTGGTTACCACTGAACAGGGCTTTATTCAGGGCGGAACCGATTCCCGTGCCAATTACCTGTTGAACAGCACCATCGCCGGCTTGGAGGAGGCCGACGCTGTCCTTCTGGTGGGCACCAATCCCCGTTACGAGGCTCCCTTGGTCAACACCCGTCTGCGCAAGGCCTATGTTCACAATGAACTGCAGATCGCCTCTATTGGACCCAAGATTGATCTGTCCTACGACCACGAGAACCTCGGCGCTGATGCCGCATTGGTCAAGGATGTATGCTCCGGAGCGCATGCCTTCTCCAAGGTTTTGGAGGGTGCCAAGAAGCCGGCCATCATTATTGGAGCTGATTTGTTGGAGCGTCCCGATGGTGCCGCCATCCACGCAACAGTTGCCGAGTACTGCAAGAAGCTAAAGAAACCCGTAAGTTTGCTATCCTATTTATTTAATTTGATATACGATATTTTGTTCGCTTGCAGAACTGGAACCCCTTCAACGTACTGCAGACAAACGCCGCTCAGGTTGGCGCCTTCGATGTGGGCTACAAGGCCGGAGCACAGACCGCTCTGAAGGCCCAGCCTAAGGTGCTCTTCCTGCTGAACGCCGATGCCGGCAAGGTAACACGCGAGCAGCTGCCCAAGGACTGTTTCGTGGTCTATATCGGTTCCCACGGTGACAACGGCGCCTCCATTGCGGATGCCGTGCTGCCAGGTGCCGCCTACACAGAAAAGCAGGGCATCTACGTGAACACTGAGGGCAGGCCACAGCAGACACTTCCTGGTGTTTCGCCACCAGGTATGGCTCGCGAGGATTGGAAAATCATCCGCGCTCTGTCCGAGGTGGTTGGTAAGCCGCTGCCGTACGACAATTTGGATGAGCTGCGCAACCGTCTGGAGGATGTAGCGCCACATCTTACCCGCCTGGGCCAGTTGGAGCCAGCCGGCGATGCCGGTTCAGCGGGAGCTATCGTAAGTTGAAGAGATTCTGTTTTAATAGGTTAAAATTGTCATTCTCATTTTTTCCTTTCCTGCAGAGCAAATCCATCGGCGGTGGCCCCATTGATGTTAAACTAAAGGAGCTGAAGGACTACTTCATGACCGATGCCATCTCGCGTGCCTCGCCCACCATGGCCAAGTGCATATCGGCAGTAAACAAGCAGCAGCGGGAGAACGAGGGCAAGCAGAGTGTGGCCATCTAGGCGTCCGCTCACCCTCGCGTCTGATCTAAACTAATAACTAATTGTTTTTTTTAAACTCTGCTCTTCGACCTTTTGCCCCGCACTCCCACAATTACTAACGGACACAAAGACAGTAGGATGAGTCGCGAGACGAGCCAGCGCAGGAACGGGATAAGGAGCAGATGCAGCAGCTGCAGAGGCGCCAGCGCTGGGGCAGTTGTAAATGATAATGTCTTTGAAGTTGTTCTAAACAAAGAAGTTATTCAATACGAGAAATAAGAAACTAAAATAAAAATGTAATAGAAAAATATTAACGGAGACTTCTGACTGGTCGGTATTTCAACATAGGTATTACATTAAGTAATACCAAATCAATCAGTTCGTTATATTGCCGTCTCGCTTTGTTTGATGTTCAAGATAATGTTTTCATTATGTCATATATCGAAATAACAATTGTACAAATTTCAAAGGTCTCTTTTTTGTTATAAATAATGCTTAACTTCTCTACTACGGTAGATAAGTTTTTACTTCCTTATTTCTTTTTTGAAAGCATAAAATCAATCATTATTTTAGTCAATCCTTTTTGATGTTCAGGTATCAGAAATTAATTATATCAGGGTTCTTATTGAAGTGAAATTTGATTTGCTAGATTAAACCTTGTAACTTAAGCTCATAAATATGCGTTAGATAGTATCTAACTTCTATTTATTTTTATTACTTATCTCATTACATTATCACGCAGTCCATGGAATTTTTCTTTAGAAAAGGAAACCTTAAATTTACCCCAATGTCTGTAAGCATGTCCACGAATTACCCCTGTAATTCTCAATGGTGCCATCATTCTCAGGTGATTAATAGTCTCTAGGGCGAAATTTCACCCGAAATTGTATTTACAATTAGACTAAATATGGTATGTATCTCACGAGTGTATTGGATTAAACACAAATTACATACTTTAAACAAAAACAAAAGTTCTATTGCTTTTATCATTTGCTTGGCTAACAACTGAAGCTTGACCTTAATACGCCATAGTAAAACTAATTCACTCTGAAGCGTTTTAGGAACTTAAGGATTAAGATTATCCATCCATAATTGATGTTGACAATTTCCAATCGAAATCATTAGTTCTACTAAAAAGGAATCATTTAATATAAAACTCAGTTATTGTGGGTGAAAAATTATATTTTTCAGCCATACATTTAGGGGATTTCATAGGTTCAAACAAATTCAAAATTTTGAGTGCATGTCAGCGGCATGCGCAGCAGTCGTGGGATGGGCTGGTTGCGCGGGAAGTTTCACTGGTGTTCTACCCGTTGTTGCTGCCCATTGCCCCTACCTTCTGCAGAGCTATTGTATGGGTGTTAATTGTAGAAACTGAAACGGAACTATTGAACTCTTCAATCGCTGGGCCGCGGGGGGATTCAGGTTGTAGGATCGTTTTTCGACGGCGTCCCAGGCGACATTAGCTGTAATCCCGCTTTAGCTGCAGCAGCTGGCCGGTGTGGGATCCAATCCCGAGCGCTTGGTGATGCTCAGACGGGTGAACTCTTCGGCGGTTGTAGGATGAATGCCCACGGTGTTGATCAGTGTGTTGATGGTCAGGCCGGACTTCAGGGCGGCAGCGAAGCCTTGGATTACCTCACCGGCCACGGGCCCGATGTAGTGCAGTCCATAGACTCGCTGATCGCCATGACGCTCGGCCACCGCCTTCAAATAACAGTAACGCACGCTCTTTTGGGGGATGAAGAACTCCGTGGGCTTGTAGTAGCCGTGGAAGACCTCCACCTCATCGGCTCCGTACTGCTTCACAGCATCCTCCTCGCTCAGACCCACACAGGCGTATTCCAGGGGTGTAAACACGGTGGTGGCCACATCGTTGTAGTCCATGCGCTGGGTAGCGCCTCCATACAGGCGGCGAGCCAGCAGTCGACCAGCCAAAACGGCTACGGGCGTCAGTTCTGGTTTACCATAGATGATGTCACCAACAGCATAGATGTTCGCCACATTGGTTGCCTCTTGTGAATCCACTGGAATCTTGTCCTTCTGAACACTGACGCCGGCATTGGGCAGGTTCAGATCGTCTACAAGACCCTTGCGACCGATGGCCCACAGCACGGTGTCGAAGAGATCCTCGGCCTCCTCGCCGGTCTCTGTGTTCTTGTACTTAACGAGCAGCTTGCCATCATCCTGCTTCTCCACGGACAGCGGCACCGACTTGCGCAGGAATGGAATGCCGCGCTCCTCCATCGACGAGGCTACAAGCTCTGCCATTTGCTGGTCGAAGCCACGCAGCACAATGGAACGCACCATCACGGTGGGCTCGTAGCCAAGACCCTTCAGGAATCCAGCACACTCCAGGCCAATGTCTAAAAGATGCGCGAGAAAAATTTGTTATTGCCAAACCTATAGATTATAATATAAGGTTATTCTTACATCCAGCTCCAACAACCAAAGTCTTGCCGGGTTCGCGATCCAAACTGAACAGATCATCGCTGGTGATGCCATACTCCACGGCTCCGGGAATATCCGGATACCGGGGTCGGCCGCCCACGGCAATAACAAAGGTCTGAGCGGTGATTGTGCGTTCGCCGCTCTTTAGCTTGGCCACCAAGGTATGAGAGTCCACAAAGGAACCTAGTCCATTGATGTACTCCACTTTCCTGAAGGCACAAAATAGTTTAATTAATAGGATTTCTTAAGTCGAACCATAGTCACACTTACTTGTCGCGCAGATCCACACGGGTCACCCAGTTAACGGACTTAATGTGGTTCTGTACAGACTGCACTAGTTTGTTCCAGTCTGGCTTGATCTTATCATCCACGTTCCAGCCGTAGGCGGCGGCCTCATGAACAGCTTCACCCAAAAGAGAAGCCTGGTGCATCAGCTTCTTGGGAATGCATCCAACGTTTACGCAGGTGCCGCCAACGCCCCATTTGGTACCAAGAGTGGGCGTGGGCTTAACGTAATCCAAACAGGCTACACGAGCTCCATTGAGGACTGCCTCCTTGGCGCAGGCCAGACCAGCTGATCCACCACCAATCACAATTAGGTCGTAGTCGTAGGATCCTGAAAGTGAAAAGATTTATAAGATTATTTTTAAGGCCTTAATCCTTATTGGTTATATAAAATAATAACAATAATAACCATGGTTTTAACTTTCAAAGTTCACAACTTCTAATAAGTTTTTTTTTCTAATTTCACTTTAGAATAAATAATCTCTTCCTGCCTTTGGGTGACTCCTCTCGAAGTCGAATGTCCAAATAGGCTGATCGGTATATGCTCCTCCGGTGGCGTGGTTCACCCTCGACCAACTGGGAAGCGGGCACAAATTCGAATAGATGCATCCAGAACGAATGAGAAACCAAGACTGTTTGCCCTCCTGCAATCCGTAATCCGCAATCTACTCCCTGCAATCTAAGCTCCTTGTGCTTTAGATGCCAGCTGGCGATAGCAGCGCCAAATGCCGCATGCCACTGGGTCAGACCTCGAATCAAATTGGAGCAATCATCTGGCGACATGGACAGGCACCTGCTACGCCCCAGTCCACCCACGCCCATTTGGTTTGCTTTGACCCGGTGGATTTAATTTTCACCATGGTTACGCCCCTAAAACTAGTTGGTAACACCATTCTTTATCGAATGACATATCAATCCTAACCAGAACTAGGGGAAATCGGTGAGGAATGTAAACAATTGTCGTCACACTGCAATTAAATGATGACGACGCCGCAATGATGATGCAAGTATCGAAGATGTTTCTTTGCCAAGCAGAGATACAGATACAGATAAATGTATGTAGATAGAAATAAAAAATACAGATAAGTGAAATGCACACGACTGATATGGTGAAATCATCATTAAGCAATTCTCGAACATTCCGCAAATGGTAGTTTAAGAATATCCAATGATATTCAAACATATGGTGAATACCATAGAGAAATCTATCATACCACTAACTGTAATTTAAAAATATTGTGTATGATGTTGACATTACCTTTTCACAAAGATCGTTTGACTAAGAAAACTTGATATTGTCACTGTATATAAATTTTGTATTATTTTACGTTTATAAACATATTTTTACGACTTAAATATTTCATAAAATAATATCTCATTTCTCATATTAAAAGGATTCTCTGATCTGAATCTAAAGTTCCTATATACATGAGTAACTTTAATGAAATTGAAATTTAAAAATTTAATAAGATCAAATAAATATTTATTTTTTATGCGGAAGAAAATGAATAATTTAATGGGTCTGTAAATGACTAATGGCTATTATGGAAATTTTTTCTTTAAATTTAAAAAAATATAAAATATCAATAAAATGAATCAGACCATTATACTTAGAATATGCGCTCTTTTTAGCGCCCACAACCAAGGCACACATCATGTACTTAAGCATGTTATTGATAAACGAGCGCTATTTGTGTGACTCCGACTGTAATTCCAGTTGGACAAGGTGTGCGATGACGATTGACGATGACGGTGCAAATGCCGGCATAAAACCTTAGCGTATACGTGCCACAGGTAAGTACGAAACCCAAAACCCGATAAGCCAAGTAATAAGAGCAAAGTAGAGGTATTTGCCAACTAACGGTTATTGCATAATGGCGTCGGTTAAACACAAGAAAGCCTATAAAAACAAAAACAAAGACGAAACTTGTGGCGAGAAAGAAACCTGACTATCGGCCGAGTTGCCAACCCGCGAAATGTGATCAATCGATATCGATGCTCACCTCCTTTGGTCCTCATCTTTCGCACCGGCTGGTCGTACATGGCCGCCCGGTCGCAATGGGGATGCTGGAAGGGGGTACCACTTGCCGCCGTTCCAGATTGCCCAGCTCCCGCCCCAGGGCTTCCATAGCTGTCGCGCGATCCTCGCTGTCCCGCCGAGCTCATTGTTCTCTGGAACGTATGTTGTGCACTGGTGGAACTACTAGTAATCCAAAAACTGAGCCCGTTTAACGACGAGCATTTGTTTTCTCGAATGATGCTGGCACGAGACGTTAAAATCGTCGAGCACTGCCGCACAAACGTAACGGAGAATCTCGAATTGCACAAGTTCATCTTGGCAAAGTTTGTCCGCCTTTACTTTTACCCCTTTCCAATCAAATTGGCAAAAATAACGGAGGAACACAACACAAACACGTCGATGGTTTTGCCGAGAATGCTACGAATGTGGAGGGCAGGCAAACAGACCGATAAACGGCTACGTAACAAAAGCAGAGAGAAAAAAGAGAGAGCACTGCTAATGCGAATGGGCAGGGGAAAGAAATCAGAAATAAAGGAGCACAGTTGTCATCTATTGGAATCTGCGGAAAGCCAATTGGCATTCGAATTGGGGAAGGCAACAGTTGTTATGCCTTAATGCCAATTAGAATTTTTCGAAACGCACGTTTAGCAATGCAGTATCGATAACTTGCGGATGGTTGGCAACACTACCCGCACAGCCGGCCGTCAAATTCGTTTTTATTTTTACGCTTGTGTTACGGCAATAAAGTCGAGTGATAAGCACGGAGAGATCTGGTCTGGTGAAATCCACAAACGGAACAATAGTGTGCCGCCCTTTATTGCACCATCACTGGCCTTTTTATATCTCAAGTGCGGCCCGATTAGATTTTAAGAAACTTGGATCGCAGATCATTTTGACGAATCACATCAGAAGAAAACATGAACTCCATCCTAATTACTGGTTGCAATCGCGGCTTGGGCCTGGGATTGGTCAAAGCATTAGTCAATCTGCCAGAGCCGCCGCAGCATCTTTTTACCACTTGCCGAAATCGCGAACAGGCAAAGGTAAGTCTTTAAGTTGGATTGGCTCGGTCCAGTAACAACAAAAACCGGTGACTCACGAAAACCAGAAAACTATAGAAACTACGCGAACAATCTACAAGAGCCACTCAATAACCACTAATCGTCCAATTAGCCCGGTAATTCCCGCCTCCAATCGTAAAATAACCGTAAACTCACCTTGTACAGGCGCCATTATCTCAGTTTTTGGTAGCTTCTCTAGGTAAATAAGACCGAAAACAAGGATCAACGTTGGATAGTAAATGTTGTAGTGGCGGAAGTGGGAAAACAGCTATTAGCGGTTGAATACTACTGAGCGTGTTTTAGCGGCTCGACACTCGCGAAAAGCACGAAACGAATAACCGGAGCTAACTTTTGCAATCGCTTTTGTACTTTCGTATGAACGTGGGAAAGAGAAAAGTCGATAGGCAATTCGACTAATTTCTTTCTAAATGCGGCCACACTGTGGGTATTTATTCAACAATTAGTTCTTTCTGGCGTTAGTGATTTAATTTACGCGGTATTTTTAAAACACCCGTTGGGATTCTTAAGATATAGTTTCCAAAAAATTGGTGCTAACAATTACTTCTAAAGTGAAATATCTCTACAAGTTTTTTATTTAATTATCTTAAAAACTTCATTCAAACTTTAAAATGTACTTTTTTTAGATTTTAAGGAAATCTAACAAAAAAAATTAGTTTGCAAAAAGGGTGGTTTAATGCTGGAACAATCCCAATCTTAAATTTATTTAATAATATTTTTCTATTTTTTTTCTTTTCTTTCCAAACAGGAACTGGAAGATCTGGCCAAGAAGCACTCAAACATTCATATACTGGAGATAGGTAGGTATTCTGACTTAAACCTAAGACTCAAGGAATAACTATATATTTACCCTGTAGATCTAAGAAACTTTAATGCCTATGATAAGCTTGTCGCCGACATCGAGGGCGTGACCAAGGACCAGGGACTTAATGTTCTCTTTAACAATGCCGGCATAGCTCCCAAATCGGCGAGGATAACGGCTGTCAGGTCGCAGGAGCTGCTAGACACTATACAAACCAACACGGTGGTACCCATTATGCTGGCAAAGGCGTGTTTGCCGCTTCTGAAAAAGGCGGCCAAGGCAAACGAGTCGCAACCGATGGGTGTGGCCCGTGCAGCCATTATTAACATGTCCTCGATTCTGGGGTCCATTCAGGGTAACACAGATGGTGGAATGTATGCCTATCGCACCTCCAAGTCAGCTCTAAATGCGGCCACCAAGTCGCTGAGTATCGATCTGTATCCGCAGCGTATCATGTGTGTCAGTCTGCATCCCGGCTGGGTAAAAACCGATATGGGGGGCGCCAACGCCCCACTGGACGTACCCACTAGTACGGGTCAGATTGTGGAGACCATTAGGACGCTGGGCGAGAAGCAGAACGGTGGTTTTATCAACTACGACGGCTCCTCGTTGGCCTGGTAAAAACAACGACAGTTAAGGACTGTCGTAGCTAAGCTTCATTTTGTTTTCGTTTGTTAATTGTTGTTAAAGAAAATACGCTAAAAGGGTACTCTATAAATGGTTAGAAAAATGTATAAAGTTGCAAACTTCTAGGAAATAATTGTATTTTTTAGAAAGCTTGGTAAATTTAAAATTTCCAAACCAAGTTGATAAAGAAGTTTTAGAGTTTACCTTTTGTTTTTTTTGAGGTGTCTTAAGTGGATTACATAGAAAAATAATGGATTTGCCAACCCGCCCGAAAGTTCCTTAATCTAGGCCCTTAATTGGCGATACCTATGTGCTATTTCTGCATTGGAGTTATCATGGCCACTGGCACCTTTGAGGAATCGATTCCAGCAGCATGACCCAACGGTGGCAGTCGCGTGCTATTGGCATTTGGTCCTCCCTCTCCTCCTCCGACAAATCCTCCAGCATCCGCTATGCCGCCCACTATGTTGTTTAAATTGGGTTGTTGTATTTGCCGATTGGGTGTCACCATGGCTACGGGTCGGGGTGAGCCTACGTCCGGCGGCTGTGGAACAGCTACGCTGTCAATCGGATGGGCCACACGCTTGCGAAGATCGAGACGTGGACGTCGGCTGTTTGCGGTGCTGGTCACGACATCCGCCGAAATGGGCGGAGGATCATTCCAACCGGGTGTTAAAGAACCTGTCAGTGGGAAAATGAAAAAAGATCAAAATTATAGTCTGACCGAAAAGCTTGACTCAACTCACCTGGGAATGCTCCCGATGGCGCAATGTTTTGCCCCGTTGGCGGTGGCGGTGGTGCGGATATCTGCTGCCGTTGTTGGTTTTGGTCTGTATGAAATGGCGGCGTTGGTGTTGCCATGATTGCTTCTGTATTCGAAACCTGCGTCTCCTTTCTATTTGCCCGACAAAAAACAATACAATATCTGCCAGAACAGATCTGGTCTTTTCAATACTACAGTGTGGCCAAATTATTAAATCTCAATATTGCTTGAACATCAAAAATACTAAAAAAAACACGGCATTTCTTGTAAATTCAAAAAGCTGGCGGTAATTCATATAATCAGTTATACAAAAAAATAAAAATTAAAATGAAAAGGTTTATAATTATATACTGATACTCTCTAATAATACTTTCTCCAAATCATTATTATTATCCAAGTTGCATAAACTTCGCCCAGAAAAACACAGGTTACATTTTATATTTCTTGGTTTGTCGTTTGTTTTTATTATTATTATAATTAATATTGTTATTTCATCTGACTTTGTCCGCATTCTTGCGTTAGGGTTACTCATAAATGTCGTTAATTTCGTACAATGGCTATTAAACCGTGCCTATTTTGTAATCTGTTTTGTTTTTCTTTAGGTATTTGTTTCGTATTTAGTTTAGTTTTGCTACACCACACACATACATAAATAAAAACTTAAACAGATTTACTGCACACACATTTTTTTATATACCTTGTTGACTACAAAAAAAAAAATATTTTCGACTTTTATTATTATTATTAGTCCCGTTTCCATTTCCGATTTCGATTCAAGACGGTGTTTTGAGACTTGATCGATTCCCAAAGAAACTATTTTCGATCCAGATAAGATAAGATCACGGAATGTATGGGATAATATAGCAAATCTGATTCAAAGATAATGGATCGAAATGGAACTGGGAACTGGACTGTATATGTATGTAAATTTTAAGGTATATTTAGATATCATTCGCTTTTAGAATCTTTCAAGTGTTTAACATTTGCGTAACATAGTTTGCTAAATTTATTTGACCCATACTTCTTCTTTTAATATAAAATTCTTGTTTTAGCCGCTGCTCATCGGAATTTGTATAGATTTCTATATGCATGGTATATTTCGCATTGCAACTAAGTCGGTTCGTTAGCTAGTTAGTTTGTGGTTGGAGTTGAAACCAACATTATATCTCCCGCCCTCCCTGTTCTCTAGACGAATTGGTTTAAATAATTAATTACAACAACATTTACTTGGGAATTCTTTTCTTTTTCGGTTTTGTTTCTTAGTTTTGATTTCTCTTAGCCTAATTCATTTTCTTGCCGGTTTTACTATTTGCATTCGTTTATTGGGGTTTCCATTATCTTACAGTGCTTAAAGTTGGCTAAATATTTGTTTTCTGTTTCAATTTTTGTTTTTAACAATTTCGCTCGTGGAGTGGTTTCTCTAAGTGATTCTCCTAACTCTCCTCATCATCTCCTCCATTATCATCATCATCATCTAGCTCCCATTTATTTAATTATTCTTTTTTTTTTGGCAATGACTTACTGATTTTGTTGTTTCTCTTTTGAACGGTTGTTTTTTTTTATTTTTTCGCTTTGCTCTTGCATTCGTTTTGTTAAAAATTAATTGTATTAAGTACGCTTCGATTTATAATTTATGTGTATGTATATCCGTATAGTATATATTTTATAAAGTAAATAGATTACGTAATTGCAACACTTGCATCTGCTTCTGTCTCAGTATTTTTCTGTTTCTGTATTCCGGAATTTGAATCTGTATCCATCGGATTTCCTCCCATGGGACAGCTGCCTACGGATTGTTCTGGCTCGTTAACATTCGGAGTCGCTTATGGGGTATTATTACACATTTTATTGGGTACTAATTGGGTACTATCATACGATTCTGGCCTTTGGGCTCGAATTCCTTCCATCGCTAATACGTTATTTTACAATTTCAATTTGCCCCTTGAAATTAAGGAAGTGCTCAAGCTTAGTTTAAACAAAAAAAAATGTATATACGTTTACAATATAAGTTAGTGGTAATTGTAAAAAAAAAAAATAAACGACAATGCCACAGAAATCACTATTCATATTGAACATCACTCGATAAGTGTGAAATAATATATAACTTAACTATTGATTTCAATTTGCTAGATTTCTCTGTGGCATCCCGAAATTGGTTCAACGAACAACAAATTTTGTGAACATACATAAAGAGGTTGGAATGCTTTTAAAACAGGGGAAGGATGCACTATTAAAAACCTTTCGATCTAAGACTAAAATGCACATATGCAACGAATTGTATAAATATATAGATTTATATATAATATTGGAGGGGTACGGGTGTACGGGGTTAATCGCATCGGCAGGCAAACCGAACTACTGGACTGGAATCGATCCTGCTCTCCGCTTGATGGCTCAATTGAAAATTGTATTTACAAAGAGTTTGGGTTTTCTGTTGGGATATAGGCGGGTGAATCCTAGGGGAAGTGGGTAAAGGGGGGTTGGTGACCCCATTATGACTCGTCGCGATTGTTGTGCACCCACTGGGCGGGCACCCATTGCGGCTCCCGTTCCAGCGAGTTGATCTCGGCCAGCAGCTGGTGGTAGGCGCGCTCTGTGTCGTTGTTAATGATGATCATATCGAATAAGTGACCCCAACGGGCCTCCATATCCCTGGCCGTGGCAATGATGTCTTTGAGCTCTTCCTCCTAATTACAAGATTTAATTAGATTTTGTTTTTGGGACTCTTAGTTCTGAACGTACCTTGAAGGGTTCGCCGTTACGCAGCTTCTTCTGACGCAGCTTATCTAAACTGGGTGGCGCCACCAGCACCACATACGGCTTGAGGTCGGAGGCGCGCAGCAGCTTGAGGCTCTGCGGATGCAGGTTAAGCACACAGATCTTGCCGCTGGCCACCACCGTGCGTATGGCCTCCAGTGATGTGCCTAATAGATATAGAGAAACACGTTAGGAAAGAGCTAAGCCTTTTAGATTCAATTAAAGTTACCGTAATAGGCCTTCTCATATTCGCCGTGCTCGACAAAGCGGCGCGCCAAAATATCAGCCTCGAAGGCTTGACGCGTGATAAAGTGGTAGTCCACTCCGGGCACTTCGCCCTCCCTACGGGCACGTGATGTGTCTGCGGAAAATAGCGAAAGACGAGGATTATTTGGAGTATTTAAACATATTTTTTTTAAGGAATTTGGTTGGGTTTCGGGTGGGAGACCTATGTCTAGCAATGGCTCTGGGACTCATTGGCTCTAAAGCGCAGCCATTTACCCTTGACCTGAGCCTTGACCTTGGCCGGCTTGAGCCGCTCCTCCAGCAAATAGAAGACTGCTCGGCGAAAGAGAGACATACAGAGGAGACGTTAAATCCGGGACACTTAAAGAAGATTGTAAACGGAGTAGAGGTGACCATGCTCCGTTTACAACCATCTTCACATCATAAGAACCTTATCCTTGATTAAAGGGTATAGATATTTTGGATGCCAAGGAAGGGAAACTCCACTTACGTGGCACTGCGGCGGAGAAACGCTCCGAGTCGGCCATCAGGCGTTGGCGCAGCTCGTGTCGTCCAATATTAGGCGGGCCGATGAGGACGATTGGCCGCTTGTGGGTGGCGCGGGGATAGTACAGAGCCACCTCCTCGTAGGTGAGTATTTCCTCCGGATCCGTTTCATCCGGCGCCGTGGTGGCGTACAGGGGATACCTATAAAATGGAAGGAAGCCGTGAATACCGTTTATAATAAAATTCCTTTTGAAAACCTTCTTATATCGCAACTTACCCCGCCTCGGAGCTGGCCTTCTTCTTTTTTTTGCGACCCTTTCGTGCACAGAGGAGCGTGGCTCCTTTGCTGCCCGATCCATCTTTGCCCCGGGATCGTGCCAATCCAGCCTCCTCTGCAATGGTCAGCTTCATCGTTTCGCGCTGATGCTGGAACGACTGACTAGGGATGAGACCGGCTAGCGTCTGATCCTCCTCACCCTCACGATACGCCTGCCACCAGTTGGGATCCTCGCGGCTAATCACGTGCAATACATCGCCTTTTTGGAAGCTGATGCCCAGCTCCCGACAGGGTATATACAAATCGTCTTCAGGATCGTAGTCGAAGTGCGCCCGAACGTGCAGAACAGCGGTGTCTCGATGTGCTCCCCCCAATCCGGCAAGTGTGTTTCCAGTGTTTCCACCCATCACTCCACCGGATGGTGGACTGCCCGCTGGGACAATCAGGAAGGTCAGGGTGCCCTGCATGGCTCCCAATAGGGCGCACACCTCGTTCACCGTCTTGCCCCGCAACTCCTGACCGTTGACCTCCAGGATCTCGTCACCTTCGTGCAGCAGTCCCGATTTCTCTGCCGCTCCGCCGCGCACAATCCTACCGATGACCACCGCCTCACCTTCGTTACGAACCGTGGCGCCTAAAGGCTCCGTGGACTTCTCGATCTGTATGATCCGGATGTTATCGTTTTGGTCATTAAGTGTGCCAAAGCACGCGCTCATCGGCAGATTAACGGGCATGGCCAGCGGTGGCATGGGAACCGGTGGTGGGGACTCCCCACGTGGCAGTGGCATTGCTCCACGTTGCGCCAGTGGTGGTGGGACCACAGGTGGTGGCACGACCATTCCAAGATTTCGTTTGGGTCCTGCCACCGGACTACTGTGACCGCTGAGTGTAGATCCCATTCCTCCCATCGCTGGTGTGGGCGTCGGCGTTGGCGATGGCGTGCCATCCGTGTGATTGGCAATGCGATCGTGGGCCAGAAGTAGACCCTCCATCTCGTGACTGGTCAGCAGATTGCCCAGCTCAATGGCCGCCGCCGTGTTCGACTGCGTTAGCAACTCGACAATGTCCTTCTGAAGTCCAAGGGCACTGTGATGCAGTGGACCGGAGACTCGGGAACGTCGTCGCTGAAGAACAGCCGTGCGGGCAGCCAAGACATGGGCCACACTGGCGCTGGCCAGGACACTGTGTGCGGCTGATACACGACCCGCCAACGTGCTCATCCCACTCTTGCTCAGCTGGTTTTGTAACCGGGTAAGGGCCGCTATCAGCTCGCCATAGCCTGGAAAGGAACGAAGAAGTAAGGATTAGTGAAAAGCATACGTTGTATGACTATAGCCATCAACTCACCATCAATCTGTTCCGCCTGCTGCGGCTGGTCTTCGTCAGGCAGATATGCCTCATTTTCTACGCCCACTACCTGAGTGGCCTGCGTTGCAAGCTGTTGCTGCTGGGCCACTGCTTTTCCTGGCGGGGCCGTATCCTGGAGCGCCTTCAGCTTCCGGGAGCCACGTAGACTGTTCCGCAGGAACTCATTTTGCTGCGCTATGCGCTCCTCCTCCTCGCGTCTTCGGCGCAGTTGCTCCTGTTGAATGGATTGCAATTGGATGGTTGTTTAGAGAATTGTGTTCGATTTCGGGGAGTTTGGAGGGGCTGGGAGGTCGGGGGGTTGGAACTCGAAGTATATGTGCAACTGGGGACCGCTCAGCTGGGCGTTGACTCTTAAGTGGCGTACTTAATCCGCATTCGCAACAATCGCTAATTTAATTAGCGGCGCCCGAGCAGGGGCCACAGATTCCCACAAAGAAGACAAACAAGGGCAGCTACTCGATTTGTTTTATACCCTGTATTTTATGGACTTTAAGGAAATATTATAATTTACATCACTTTTACGTCTTTGTTTTACACTGATTTAAATAAATTAAAACAATTTAAATGTAAATGTAGCCTTGTTGATCTTGGCACACTAACACGTTTAATGAGGTAATTAAAAAGCAATACTCATTAACTAATTCAAGAATTTCTAAACAGACTGGTTATATTAAAATTTAACGGTCTCTCGACATTGAATATTAATGCCAATTATATCTACTAATTAGCCATCTAAATGGATGGTAACATAGCCATCCCCACAATTTTAGGGTATCAATCCGACTGCATTGGCCTATAACGGACTGATTCAGGTGGATGGATTGGGGTTGGTGGTGTTCTGGTGTGGGTGGTGCCTCCCACTGGCCCACTGTGCAAACCCAAGCAAATCCCTTCGAGGGCACCGACGATGAGTTAATGAGCGTAAAGGGTTGACAAAGGGAACTGGGGATAAAAGAGTAGCCGAGGTGGCCGTAAATGTTGCAATTGTTTGCGGAAGCCCCTTAAGTGTGTTCGCCATTCAACGGAATGGGGCGCGAAAAATGGAACAAAAAAAAACATACATATATTGGGGGCTGGGCCCTTCGAGTGTCCAGTGGCTGCCAAACTCCCATGGCCAATAATTAAGATAATGGTTATTCAGGCCCAAATTGGCCCCCAAAACGTGATAAATTCCCGATTTCGTGACCAACAAAGAGAATGAAATCAAATCGATGACAACAATGAAGAGCAAAAGTTCCCACTACAAAAAATAATACAAAAAACCAGAACGGCCACATGATAGAATAAAAAAAAAAAAACAATAAAAATGAACTTAATTGAATAACAACAGAAAAGGCGCTCGACATTCCAAAAGGCGGAAGAAGGCAAAGGCAAAAAAGTAGAAGACGAGGAAAAATAACAATGCAAAGACACTAAAAAATGAATTCCGCTGAACTTGCATAATCCGAGCAGAAGAGAATCAGCAGAAATTTCACGGGCTCTTCAAGAGGAGGTGGCCCGAAGTGGCTAGAATGGCCACCAAGAAAACGTCGTGTGAACCAAAACTGAATTTAACATTGAAACCTGAATGAAAAACGATGACAGCGGTTCGCAAAAAGACAACAAGCCGTACAAAAACCAAACCAAAACAAAAATCGCTCAAAGTCGCAGCATCGTAAAAAAGAAGGAAAATAAAAGCTACGGATAGTACGGTTTGACATTCACTAGTTGTAAGCTTCTAAAACTGTTGAAAATAAATTTATAATCACCTAAATACTTAGGAAAGTAGTGAAAGTATGGAACAAGCTCTTATTATTTTGTAATCTAAACTCCTTTTAAAGCTTTTAATGTATACAAGACAAAACAATTCAATTTAAACAGTAAATAAACTATTATAGCAAATGAAAATAATGTGAAATTTCCAGATAAAAGCCTATTTGTGTTGCAATTTGATACCTCAAGGAACTCATAATTAATAATTCTGTGAAAACGGATTTATGCACAAGCATTGGTGTAATCAATACCATGAATTTCCACGCAAAACGAAAGTTCAGGTGCTGCAAAGGGATTTGAGTTTCAGTTTTAGCAATTAAAACCTCAGAGTCAACTCCCACGCGAAGTGCAAAACCGAAAATACAACAAAACTATAAATAGACATAGGTAGATCAACTGAAGCCTACAAAAGACCATCAATCATCAAGCAACACCTTGAGAAATTGTAAAATATTATTAATAAATAAAAGAAGGTATATATACGAGTACTTCAAAGACAATGACAATTGTCGACGGGAACGCCATGACATCATCATCGCCATTGCCAACAAATGCCGGCATAAATAAATAACAAATATTGAAAAATGCGCATACCGGTGGAAATTAAAAATATATAACTACCAATACCCTAACTTATACAACAGCATACTGAACTCTTTACTAACTTGGCTATTATTTGGGTAGTTAGGGTATTTAGTTTTTCATAGCCTAACTCAACAATTTGACAACCCATTGCCGCTATCGTTCAGGCAAATTGTTTTTGCCTTTTTCGTTTTATTTCTAATTTTTATGGCCCGGCAGCCAGTTAGCCAAGGTGTTGTTGGTTGTTGTTGTTAGCTCGACTGGCTAGTTGCTGCCGTATATTGTCGTTAGCATTTATGCAGATAAAGTCAGTCGCCAGTCGCTAGCAACAGTGTATATAGGCATTAAGATCTAATTGGATATAGGTATCAAATGTCAGGTATATGCAAAGATCGAGGTATTAAAGTCTATAAGTTTGAGGTAAACATCTCTCTTACTTTCTTTGCTTTCATTTCTTTATTACTCTTCATATAGAATGATTGATTTGCATATTTATATATTATTAATTTTTATTAATTATTAATTATTATTACACTTTTGTGGACATTTCCTTTAACGCATTCACCATATAAACTTGCCTGTTGTTGTCGCAAACGCGTCGAGGATCGCTGAATTTGTATACCGCGACGTAGGGCGGAGGCACTTCGCTGGGGCGTGGCAGTGGATGAGACAGGTGAGCCGACATATTGCTCTGGAGAATGGGGAGATTGAGATCCCGGTCCGCCACCACCACCACCACTGATTCCCATTCCAACACCATTGCCATTCATATCACAATAGTCAATGTTGTTATTATTGTTCATGTGGTTCTCCTTTTCGTTTTGTTGCTGTAGCTGTAGCTGTTGCTGTTGCAACTGCTGTACGGACAGCACAGCAAACTTGGTGGGCGATGTTGCTGCAGCAGCAGCAGCAACAACGCCTGGTTGTCCAGCGGCAACATTGCCGTTGTTCTCCAACGTTATGTGCAAAGTGGACACGACCATTTTCGTCGAATCGCACTTTCATCGATCTTTGTCTCCGTGGCGCGGTGACCGTCTCTCCTAACAAAACCGAAAAACCAAAAACTGTCACCAGCTGTAGCAGAAACATTAACACTGGGCAGCAGCAGCAACTATGCAAATGGCCACGCCTACACCTAGGCAGTGCATAAATTTGAATAGGAAATTGTGGTGTTCCAAATGAAATGCAACTTAATGCGCATTTCAACTCAAATTGCTGCTGCTGCTGCTGCTGTTGCTGTTGCTGCAGTGGATAAAAAGCAATAAAAAGCGAAAGTTGAGATGGCCGAAATAGTTCTGGCCCAGACACGCATCGCCAGCGCAGCAGCAACAGTAAGAGCAGCAACACGAACAGCTACAGCAGCGGCTGAAACAGCTTTCCTTTTAACTCGTGCAATTTACAACTATTTACTTTTACACATTTGTTTATTTGTTTATTTATGGGCTTTTTGTTATTGTTATTTTTTCACTATTGTTGCTGCTGTCGCTCAGCATTCAACGTGCCTGAACTGGGGAATGAGACGTATCGCTGCTGCTGTTGACGCTGCATTTACGCTTGGCACATCAATAACAATAAGAAGCACTCGCACACACTCACACTTATGGCATGAACAAAAAAAAAAAAAAAACAAAAAATAAAAAAAAAACAGTTCACCTCAACTGTTTATCATTTATATTAAAATTTTTCAGCTGCCTTTTGTAGGTATTTTTGCTGTTGCCGTCTGCAGGCAAATTAACGTCGTGAGTCAGAGCAAAGTCCGAAAGAGGCGATCACTTCAATGAAGTCTGATAAAATATATACTCTAATATAATATATATTTGTTATATCTCCAATATGCATCGTTTGCAAAGAAACTACTCTTTATTGCTCTTTTTTTTGTATCTTTTATAATTAAATTTTATTTGCGTGCTGTCTCATTTGAATGTTTTCATTTTATTCCATTATTTCCGACAAATTTACATCGTGAGTCAGAGCAATGACCATTAAACATACGATCACTTCAATGGAGCATGCCAAAATCATGGAAGCAACATGCATACACTATATAGTTGGTTACAGATTTTACAAAATATGGGGATTCCTGTATTTTGTAGTGTTTTATAGGATATAAACAACTTCAAGTTGAAATAATTCTTATTTGTTATTTAGAACGTATTTGGAACGAGTTTAAAAGTACAAAAATAATACATAATTCCACATGTTTCCACTTTAAAATTGCATATTTTTCCGGGCTGGTTAAGTCCCTATATTGGGCATACGTTTAATCCTTTGCCTTGTTGGCCTGGCTGATTGAAAGCTTCTTTATGCTTGTAACCAATGCCTGTTTGTGTTATTCAGCCAGCTTTTTTTTCAATAAGGTATGCCACTTTCGGGATATTTCATTTATTTCACATATTTCCAGTATGTCTTTTTTTTTTTTTTTTTTTGTGGTTACGAGAGCAACTTTCCGTTATGGCTGCAAATGCCACGCCTGTTTTTGCTGTTTTTTCCGTTGCCTGCCCATAAAATGTTGTCGAATGTTGTGTTGCCGTTTGGGGTACTTGGGAAATGGTTGTTCGTGTGGCGGCTGGTACGTGCTTTTTGGTCCCAGAATTTCTGCCAGTTATGGGCGGTTTTTGCAAGCCGCGCCTTATTTGCATGACTCCAATTGCACACAATTCACAGGCACAATCTCATACACACATGCCAAAAAAAAAAAACACACACAGCCAAAAAAAACCCAATCCAGTTCCTTTAAAACCTCTGCTTTTCTAAACAAAATAATTATTTTCCACGAAGAAAATGCATCCGTTTAAGTTGGAATTTTTCGTATCAGACATACATATATATGCATACGGCCTTATCTAATCGGTTATCGGTTCTTTGTCACGCACTTGGCCCGAACGAAAAAGCACAAAAAATACAAAATAAAATGGGTAGAGAAAAAAATCAACAAAAATTGCGGCCGATCGCAGAACGCGTAGAAAAACAACTAAAAACGCCAACTGAAAATCATAACAAACCAGCGCTGTCAGACGACGTCGACGTAGGCAGAAGCAGAAGCAGAAGCAGAGGCAGAGGCGTCGCCGGAGCCACTATATATACTACAGAAGGGGAGAGGGCGGCCCCAAAGAAGTAAAGAGTGCAAAAGCGGAGAACAGGTGAGCGTACAGGTGAGCAAAGAGCCCAAGTACAAAACTACGTATAATACATATGTGTGTGTTAAGCCGGCCTGGAGAGACAAATGCGCAAAAATGGAATGTTTAACTAATTTGCGAACATGCCCAGCCCAGAGACAGGGCTTTTAAATGGGGGCTAAAAAAAAAAAAGGGGGGTGCTAACAACAGCCACAGGCAACCAACAAACAGTAGCAACAACCCCCTTCGGACAGCAAACAAACAGCAGTTCAAACAAGCAGGTTAAATTTAAACAATGTTGGGCACTCTATTTATACAAGATATACGATAGCGATAACGAACGAGCACGATAACAGTGTCAAACATGATAAATCTAATAAGAATGGCTATTAATTATGGCCATGATAAGAGCCATGAGAGGGTGCAGCAATAATGAGATCCAATTACAAAGTGATGATAATGCTAAACCGTAATTATTGGCACTGATTGATCATTAACAAACCAGAACATCTACTAATCATTGTGGTTTATCGAAAAATCGATTAGAATCAGCCAGTTATCGCATAATTCTCTCATTCATTTATTCCCCTGTAATCACTATTGAAATGCAGGACATAGCATTGACTTAAGTATAATCTTTCAAATGTAAATAGCTTTGGAAAATCTCTTCCAAGCTGTTGAATTTTTAATTTTCACTTTGCTCGGTACGCACAAATGCATGAAGGTAGCTTTTATGTGAGTTACCATTATCCGTTGCCCCTCTCCCTCCTTCCCAACCATTTACCCCCTGTCAGCATTTGTGGCTTCGTTCTTTTAATGAGCTTACATCCATAATCGCCACCTACTCACGCTTTTCACACTTACTAGTGTGCCTTCTCCCAGCCCAATGGATGTCAAACTGTATGCCACTAGTCGAATTCAGTTTTAATTAATTACATTTAGCAAATGTGTTTTAGCCCACTACTCTGTCTCTGTCTCCGTCTCTACTTTTTGTCACCGTACTCTACTTTGTAACTTGTTTTTTTTTTCTTTTCTTTTGCTCAGTCTTTGTCTGCGGGCACGGCTAAGGGCGGAACGTAACAATTCGATTAAAAGTTGCATAATTAATCATTGCATTAAACAACTTTTTACCAACGCCTCCACGATCCCTTGTCGTCTTTGCTTCCTGCGAAATAACGCCTATGGCCCTTCTATGGTGAATCACCAGAACACTGCTCTTACCCCATTTTTCCCTCTATTGGAAGCACACCGCCCCTGGAAATCCCACCCACACGCCCTGCAGCCTTCCAAATGAATGCGAAATGTTTTACTTTTAAACGGCATTATAATTCCACTTCCCTCCGCCACATATTACCCCCTCTTTTTAACCAGCTTTTGCGCCCACCTCCTTTGCACTTTCGAGTGCACAGACAAAAAAAAGTTGTTGGGCAACTTTTTTCACGCCCCCACACACACATACAATACCGTACTTTGAACACAACTACGCCCTTTTGCCCCTGCTCCCGCCTCTGCTACTGCCCCAGCCCCTGCCATCAGGTTTATTGTCTTTTGGCGCGGCAAACCTTTTAATAGTTTTACTAGTTAAATGCAATGGTCGGGTCGGGGCAATCAAAATTGGGTAAAATTTCTCTCTCTGGTCTTTATATTTTGTGATGATTACAGTTTGATGGAGACTGCCGGCAATTAATGGTCAATGGCCCACCAAAGAGAAGTAACTAGAAAATTCAACGATTATCAGGCGGAACAAAAGAACGTGGCATAAACCGGAAACGTTGCCCCAGACTTTCATCAAAAAAATCATTTATTATGAATAGCCAGAGGGGGCCCGATGGCAGAGGAAGTGGATGTAAGTAACTGCTTTGCATGCTAATGAGCTGCATTTAAATCAAAGGAAAATTCTAAACAAACCAACTATTATTCTCAAATCACCAATTGCTTCATTAAAAAGAAGAAATCATTTCGGATTTTTGGATTTGAAAGTTATAAAACAGCTTAAGAAAATATACTTTACTATTGGCATAGAATTGTCTCTATTCGTTTTTTTTTAGTTAAAAATAATCATAAATAATCAAATATCTGTCAAAGATAAAACTTCCTTTGTTTCCTTTGACAACTAACCGCTATTGTTTTACACTTTCAGCAGAAACTCATAAAGGGTTAAGAAATGGCCTATGAAAACCACAACAAAGAGTGCTTTCATGGGATGAAACCAACAAGTTTTTCGCAAGTAATTTATTTATTTTCTACTATGCTTTGGTATTATTACTCTGCCTAAGTAAGTAAAACATAATCCAGAGTTATTTTTCAATTCAAATTCCCAGTTGCACAGTTTGAGAACCTGATATTTCTTGTAGTCTTACAAATTGGAGGAACACAGTTTGAAAGCCACTTACCTGGTATTTTTTAATGCTGTCCAGCTGCTCCAAAGTGGGCTCCACGATGTGAGCGATCTGTTGTTGCTGCAACGGATGTGGTATGCCACTGCTGCTGCCGCTACTCGCATTACCCGGCGCCCTTCGATCCGGCAGTTGTGGTGCGGGTGAGCAGTTGACCAGACGCCCATCCTTTTCCACCCGTAAATGATCACGGGGCGGCGGTACGGGCTTCGCATTCCCATTGAGCTGTTTGGAAACATTGCAAGAAACAAGAATGAGAGCCCCATTAGTTATGCGCCATATTGTGTGTCCTTAAGTGTATGTGTTTTTTGTGAGTGTGTTTATGAGAGTGTGTGTGTGTGTGTGTATGGCTGATGGTTGTTGGTCATTAAAGTTGAATGAGTTTATTTGTTGCCAGTGTTCTGTGCATTTCCCTGCGCGATGAACGAAAAAGGCCCTTACATTAAGTGATAAGTGTACATGAATCCTTCACCTTCCGGCAGTGGCGTAGACTCAGTTTCATCAAGGTAAAAAAGGCTTATGACATTGTTACATTTTCACATACAAAAAATATATCAGGTGCCAAAAACTAGGCAATACTTTTTCAGATCTTTAACATTTTCTTTAAAAGGTCTTTTATATTTACTAATAAAACTTATAGAAAATCTATAAGAAAAAATATTTAAAACACAAAATCGCCTACGCCACTGTTTGTGTATCCTCTTGAAACCCTTTTTGAAAAAACCCATTTCAGTTTTTTTTTCGGTGTCGCTTACTGGCGAGAATTGAATACAGTTCCGTATTTAAATGCATTTACTCTTTGATTCTTTTTATTCAGCGCATTGTCAGTTGGAAAATAAAAAGAATATGGAAAACGAAAGAAAGGCGCTCATTTCGCTTTTGTTCTGCAGCCATTGGAAAATTAATCGAGAGCAATTTCATATAAATGGCATTTATTTTTCATCGCCTGAAAAGAGCCGAGCTGTGAGGAAAGGATAGACGAGTACGAGTACGAGAATGAGGATGAGGAGAATAAGAGAGAGCTAGCGAGCTGCAAATGATGAAATAAGCGGAACAGCGGGCGGTAGCACCACCACCTACTGAGTATAGATGGTGATGTTGGGGTGTGGGTGCCATGGGTGGCTCAATGTTGTTAGGATTATGCCCCGCTAACGAGGCCAACGCAGCGGCTCTGATGCCGTGAATTAGGCCAACCGGCTGAACAAGGTGACAAACCGAGTGGTTTGGGTGGTTGGCTGCTTGGTTTGGATTGGGGTTCTTTGGGTAAAGGAGAAACGGGCAGCGGAAAAAAAACAAATGGGGGTTACGGGTCAACTGGTGGGGGACCTGGTCCGACCTGCACCACTGGATAAAGAAAGGGAATCAATGCGTATACGGCTATACAAAAGGGGTTAAGTGGGCGCCGCATTAATTAGCCGAGTTGAGCGAAAAACGACACGCCGTGCACTTTGGGGTCGCTATAAATATCGATCCATATTTTATAATACCTTATACATGTGTAATGGGTATAAGTATATATATATATATATATATATATACATCATATATATTATATATGTCATTCTATAATCTGCTTCTTTGGCCATTTAATGTAATATTCATAAAATCTATTCAACTGTCATGTTTTTTCTATTTTAAATCGCTTTTACTAGGCATTTTTAGGTTAACGTTTATGTTGCTTTTTTGATTTTCATTATTTTTGGTGACCAAAATGTTGGATTATTTACCATAATCCATCATAATTCTGGGAGCTATTATAAGTACACTGAATATGAAATGATATATGGTATATATAAAAGGTAAGCAATATCTAAATCTATATAGACTGATTCGTTTTAAATTGCCTTTCAACGGTATGGGGCTCATGTTATTTCCATTTAAAATTAATTAATCGCCAAAACACATCACTGAAAACACACTTAAATTAAAAAAGATTCAGAGAGAATGAGAGAAGAACGAAACGGAGTGACAGGGTGATAGCAGAGAAGAGTTCAGAGTCTCCAGTGAGAAGTTGAGACAGATAGCAAGTACAAAATGCAATGTGGTATACCTCATCGGCCACCCGCCTCGCATCGCCGTCAGCAACACCAGAAACCACCGCAGCAACCGCAGCGGTTGCACATGCTGATGTTGCTGCTGCTGTTACTGCTGCAGTTGAAGTAACAGGCGAAGGCGAAACGCCCATCGAGGAGAGTGTTGTGTGGGCGGTGGAGGCGCTGCCGTTTGATAAAAGCGATCCGCGAGAAGAAAGGTGAGCAGGTGGTGGATATCGCGGCGGTGTCTTCACCATCTCAATAAAGCTGTCTGGTACATCCACGGGCAACTCCCGATGTTTAGCCATCGGCGGTAGCAACATTGTTACGGGATCAACCTGATGATGATGTTGCTGTTGCTGCTGGCTCACCTCGTAACCAGGCGGCGCCAAGCTCAAGTCATCCGGCACCGTTGAACTGCTTGTGGATGTTGCACTTGCAATGTTGCTGCTGTGACCGCTGCTGCTGGTATGCATCGAACTGTTGCTGCTGTTCAGCGAGTTGCTGTTGCTGCTGTTACCAGTCACACCGGCTACCGTATTCGTCTTATTCAAATCAGCTGTGTTGCTATTGCTGGTATTGCTGTTGCAATTACTATTGCTGTTGCTGCTGTTGCTATTGCCATTGCTCGTCGCCTGATGTTGCTGGTGCAGGTGACGATAGGCGATGCTTCCAAAGGAGTCCAAGGTATGCTTACTCATCACCTCATCGAAGGCACTCGATGAGGGCGAGGCAGAGTCCTTGCGCTGATATAGACCATCCACAACGCACAGGAAGTCGTCCGTGATGCTGCTGTTGTTGCTGCTGCTGCTGCCGACGGTGTTGGTATTGCTATTGGTGCCGTTGGCATTGCTGCTATTGCCATTGGGATCGCTGCTCAATGTTGCCTGTAACTTGTGGCTGGGCGTCTGTTGCTGGGCGATTTGTGCTGCTGCTGCTGTTGCTGCAACTTGCAGTTGTTGCTGCTGATTTTGCTTCTGCTCAAGTTCCGATTGTAGGCAATTTTCATAGTTTTCGATTTGTTCCAATTTATTTTGTTGTTTTTGATTGTACAGATTTTGTGTGGCCACATCGAGTGCAATTGTTGTTGTTGTTGTTGTTGTTGTTTTTGATGGGTGTTGTTGTTCATGATGTGGTGATGGTTGTTGTTGTAGTTGTAGTTGTTCATGTTGATGTGAAGAATGATATGCAACAATTAACATTTTGTTAGCATGATCATTGTTAGTCATAGCTGTGATTTTGGTTGAGGTTGTATCGGTGGATGTGGTGGTGGTGGTGCATTTCTTGTGTTTCTGTGTGCGTGTGGGTTATGTGATGGTTGAGGTGGTATTTGTGTTGGTGGTGGTGGTGCATATGGTGTTGGTGAAAAGAGAATGGATGTATGTGTGAATGATTTGAATGTGAAATGGAGTGTCTGGTTTTTTGGTTAGTTACACTATTTTCTAGATGGTTTGTGTCTTGGATTTGTGTTTACTTCACAAGCATTTTGGTTAGTGATTGTCGGTTACAGTTTTTATGGTTTTTGGTAGCATTACTTGGTGGTTTTCCTTAAAGGTTTAAAGGGTTTTTGGTAGTGAAAGTTGGTTTGAGTTAGTTGTAGTTTTCTAAAGCCTGAAGGTTGAGCATAGATCATCATTCAGAGATCGGAGGTGTTTTAAAAGGTTTCTTAGGTTGTATATTAAGACATTTCTTGAGGCCATACTTCGAGTTTTGGTTTTATAGTTACAGTAGGATTTGGTTTTTATTTTTGTTAAAGGATTTTTCACGAATCTAATGTTAAGTTAACGACTATGGTTAGAAATTCTAGGTTACAACAATTACAGGAAATACTGCATGGATTGGAGATAAGCTATTATTGGTTCATGGTTTCTTCTGGTTCGGAAATCGTGTGGCTAATGTGTGTGTTGTGGGTTTTGTACAGAATACGGATCGCTGGCTTGCTTACCTGCGGTGGACGGGGTGGCGGATATCTGGGTGGCGTCTTGTTGCGTGCGATGAACGTGTCCGGACAATCGACGGCCATCTCACGGTGTGGACCTGAACATGAACATGGAACGGAACTTTGGTCAGTTCAACGGATTGGAAAAGGCACATCCTGACGACACTCACCGTTATCTTGGTTCACGGACAGCATGGTCAGCATTTCCTGGTCAATATCCCTGATGTCGCCCGAGTGCGTGCGATAGTGTTGCGGATGTTGCTGCTGTAGCTGCTGCTGCAGTTGCAACTGGTGCTGGTGGTTCAGGTGATGCTGTCCGCTTATGTAGTCATCCGGCAGACATGGCTTCAAATCGTCGCCGTCCAGCACAACAATGCTCGAGCCGGAGCGCCGGCGATTCCTGTCAATCGGCAAAGAAAAAAAAAACCAAGAAAAGTTAGATTCCGTCAGTTGAGGTCCGGATATAAATCGGTGTAAAGGTATTCCAGGTGCATACCCGGCCAGAGGCAGGGATTTTTCCTGTTACTGGTTAGGAAATCAAGTAAATACTTTAACTCAACTGCAGTTGATCTACGTATTTTGTTATCTTATCTTGTCAAGTTTTTAAACTTTTAAAAATCATATAAATATTCATTGATAAATACTCAAATTAACATGGTGGCTCTTCTCAAGTTGAAAACATAAAGAAACTTGTAGTTGGTGCACTATTTCAATGCAAATTGGCAGCTTCTGTCGATGGCATCCACCTTTTTCTTCAAATTTTGTCCCAGATTAAGGGCGCAGTTTGGCAGCCACTGGTCGGGAATCGGATAGGGCGGACAGCCTCTTTTATTATTTCAAAAAGTTAGCCGCACAAAGAGACTTTTTAGGTGGAGGAGGAGAGGGACAAGAATGAGGAGAGGTAAAGAGGGTTATGGATTAGGTATAGGCAACTTGAAACTGGAACGCTACCCAAAAACTTTGTTATAACTTTGCACTTTTGCGTCGCTCTTTCATTATGCAAGGTGGCAGGGGAAATGACTGGTTTGAAGGCAATTTGCGCCTTAATTTGTTCGGCTTTTGGATTATGGGCTTAGGTGGAGGTGTAAAAGTATGGATGTGGGGGATGCGGAGGTGGGCCAAGTCGGCTGGCTAATTGCAAAAAGCTCAAAGTGGATTTTATGCCGGACCAGCCTAGAAGTATGCACTACCTTTCAGTGCCGTCAAAACCGACCTCTCCTCCCCTTCCCAACCATCAACAAACCCACCCAATCGCTTTATCGCCCTTCTTCAGGCGCTGATGCGACAAAAGCAATTTCAGCCGCAGCCTGGCAACGACGTTCGGAGTGCAGTGGTAACCCCATCTCCGTCTCCATCTACATCCATATTTCCCCTCCCTGAATCCTTGGTCCTTGGGTCCTTTTGGGTAATGATGAACGTCAACAGCAGCTCCAATACGTGACCCACCCACAGATTTTTATGGAGAAAAAATACTACTTTGGGGATTTTCAGATCAGAGGGTATACAAGCCACTTTTCAAAGCATTAATTAAAAGTCACAGGAATTTAACAAAAAACTTTACGCAAACTAAATGGTTTATATTAACGAAATTTGGTTTTTAATGATGATTTAGTGGCCCTGCAAGGTTGGGCAGTTACTATCGTTTAAGCACGTATTATATCAAAACATATAATTGATTTAACAATGGTATGCAGTTTTTCCGTGTACATTCTAGATCTTCACTTCCTTCATTTCCAACATTTCCAACTCATTTTACTAGCGGAATTCAGCACTTTTCTCATATAAAGGGCCTGCTATACAACGGCTGTGTGAGCCAGGCATTAAAAAACGATTTCTGGAGAATGCAACAACGACAAGATGGCCAAGACGGCTCCCTTACGGCCAAGAATAGAAAGATGAGATGGAGAGATGGCGATGGCGATGAAGAGAATGTGAATCAAACACGAGGCAACGGGCGAGACAATTCAATTTGCGTAACAGCAGACGACCAGAAAATGGTAGGAGAACCAGCTGGAGGAGCTCCTCTAAATGGAAGGCGGACGGCAGGCGGTAGGCGGCACTATTGACGGCGGGATTGGAGTCAAGTTAACGGGCAGTGCAAATGAGTCGAACAGAAGAAGACGATAAAGAAGAAAAGACTTGGCGGAGTAGGAAAAGTGAGGCGCAGGAAAAAGCGCACCATAAACGAATTAAAATGCCTTTGGCTCTGACATCAAGAACACACCAAGGCCAGTTCGTCTAGTAAGAGCAAGGGAAACAGCATTGCATCTACAGCAGCAACATCTCAGCGGCAACATCTCAGTAACACAGCAACAGCTGGTCAGTTGGTCAGTCCATTCCTATTTTTATCCCCCTCATCAATCTGTCGACCTGTGGAGGAGATCTTTCTTCTTCTCAAGTTTCCTTCCCTTTGGCAGATGTTCGATTAGTGACGCACAAATTAGCGATAGATGAGTTCTAGCTTTAATATAAAACCAGAGCTCTTCCTCTACATCAGATTGCTTTTAATGAGGTATCTTTGCCAGAAGTCTCATTAGTAGCTATGACCAATTGCACCATTTCCAACTAACCATATTATAAGAACTAAAGAAATGGATTTGTTTTTATAGGTATATAGCTATCTATCCATGCAATCTCCCATCTAAACGCTAGATTAATTCAATTATTGTGCATTTATTTATATACCACAACTGTTGGCCTAAACGAAACAAGCGAGATGGCAGAATGAGTGGCATAACAATCGGCTTGCTGGCTGTCATATTCCTATTTTGCCAGCAATTAGCAGCATCTAAAGCCGGCAGCTATCTGTCATGCATCTGATTGTCACCCTGACGTGCCCCATATAATGACCGCATCGGTTTTCGCATTCCCCAACGCCCAATGCCAGATCCCCAATCCCCAATCCTCAAACCCCAATACCCATTCGTATCTGCATCTATATCTGTATCTGTATCTGTGTCATAACAAGCAGAACAATGCGAGATACCCACAAATATTCCCCCATTTTCCCGACCCATCCCCCTCGATGGTCACTGGGATCATCAATAACCCGGAGGGAGAAAGTGGGTGGTGTCCAGTGAAAGGAGCCAACCGAACTGTCAAAGTGGACAACGTTAGCCCGCAACGATTCATACATCGATGACAAGGCAATGGTATTTTGCGGCACAGCCATGTCCTTTTGTCAATCGCAAAAATATTTTAAACATTCTCCGCCCTCCCCCTTGACATCAACTTAATCCTGTCGTTGTAATATTTATTATGTAGATTCTAGAATTACTAAAATACACAACCGTAATTGGGGATTTATGTGTTAGTTTTGAGAATGTGCAGTTAGTATCTAGGTGTGTCATCAAAAACATCATTAACTTCTGTATTTATTATTCTAGTTCATTGATCTATTTGCACTTTCTAAACTCATTTTATAAAATACAGATTATGTCTTTAACTTAAACTAACTTGATAACTAATAGTTAGTTAGATATAAGAATATATTCTGTTAAGTTTTTAATGACTTTACTTTCATTATTAACAAAATAAACAAAGAAGCAAAGATTTGTGCTCAGTGCACGTTGCCGCAGGTTAAGGATGGCAATTAGCCACGATGGAAGGCGGTCGGAAGAGGAGGCGGGGCAGCGGCAGAGCGATGAAAGGAGACAGATAAACGCAAACAACACATGGGGGAAACCATTAAATGTATTTTGCATTTCCAGCTGTCCGTCGGTGTATCTGCATCTGTATATGTGTGTGTTTGTATGTAATTTGGCAATGTGTGTGCGCTATCATTGTTGTGTGGTGTGAGTATGAGCAACTGACCAGAAGAGCGACACACATTGCTGTTGTTGCTGCTGCTGCTGCTGCTGCTGCACGACAGCAACATGCGACATGTTAATTGTTTACGGCCAGCAAGCGAGCACGAGACAAAAGTGTGGGGGTTGGGCGGTTAGAGGGGAGGTTAACAAACAATTGCGGACAATAGAATAGAATTAAGCAAATGGAATAATCATATGTTATATTTCAAGCTACATTTTCTGTTTCTACTTTACATAAAGAGGATTTAAAGTTTTGCTTTTATTCTTATTCTTGCTAACTTATTACTACACTTTATGTATTCCACTTTATTTTAACTTTATCTCTTATGCAAGAGAGTGGCATAAAAAGTTCGTAGCATTTTACCTAAATTTGCTTTTGTTTAGGTCTGCATAAAATATTACAAAACTTTATTGTATATGAATGCATTTTGTAAGGTCAATGTGGAAATGCAGGTCAATGAAATCAAAACAATGTATGTAATGCAGTGCTTTTGTCAATGAAAAATCCGAAATGTTAGCAAAACTATTTAAGATATACCTTTTTATGATATTAAATATTTATTAATAACATTTTCTGATGCTATTGCTTTAACCGCAATTGCATTTCGAGCGATACAAAATATATATAGCAACAGGTGGATGGAGATATCCCCTATGTTCCGATCTACTGAACGATTTTTTGGGAGGGTTTATGCTTGAGGGCATGCAACAAGTGGATGGAACAGGTGTAGACTGAGAATTGGGAATCGGGAATTATGAATCCGGAGTTGGGAATTACAGGCGTGCGGGACCGACCGGAAGAGGCTTATTTGCTGGCGGAAGTTGGCAGCCATGAGTCACTATCACCCAGTTGCTTCGAGTTTTCAGATCACAATCCCCCATTTACCATTCACCATTTACTGTTCACCATTCCCCTCCCTTCCAGGTAGAACATCCTCAATTCGACCAGAATTTGTGGGTGTGACCCTGGTCAGACGCAGAACTCAATTTAATGCACAACTCAGAACTCAGAACTCGGAACTGAAAACGGAAAACTGAAAACTGGAAATGCAACTCAAACTGAGAGATTGTAATGGATTGCGGTTGTGTGCAAAGTGCCTCCTAGGAAAAGTGTTGGATAAGCAGAAGCGTCGAAGAAAACTTGGCTATACCAACCAGAAGCTATTAATTTGAACCTGAAACTGAAGCTGGAGTTGGAATTCCATTTGAATTATTCATTGCCAAGGCAGCCACATGGGAATGAAAGCAAGAAATAGCAATTGGAGCAGGTTTAATTGCCGAGCAAACCAAAAGCCAAAGTAATGCCATAACCAATAGTTATGGCACACAAAATTAACAATTTTTATTTTATTTTTTATAAGAAATTGGCAAACTGATATTTTTTAAATTGAATATTTATATTGAAAGTCTATAGAAACTCTTTAATAGATTTACATTGTCAAAATTACAATTCAAATATTAATTATGAAAATATTTATACTACTAAACTTTACATATTTCTCTCTGTGTCAACTCAACTCTTGGGAAATTTGCAATCGAAATCGCAATCGCATCATCGATGCCGCTCAATTGCACACTCTATTCGCCACTC